TTGACTTTTGCACAGTACAGTATGTGCACTCAAAAATAAAAGTACCCAAAAACGGTACCTTTCAAAAAAGGCGCCTTCTTTGGAGGAATACTATAGAGGAACCACTTTGTTACCCCAAAGGATCAGTTTTGTAAATTGGGTATACAAGGGTGAAGCAGGTTCTTAAAATTTAAAGAAACTCAATATGTTGTTAAGTATCTTTACCAATCAAAATTTTATCCTAGAACCTAACAAGAACCATTTAGGAACCTTTAGAGGAGTACTGTTACTCCCCTACTGGTCATATATTGTGTAAACCTGTAAATTTTATTCAGACATTCTAATTCACAATGTATTTAGTACATTTACTTCCTCTGTTTCTCACTAATATAAAACAGTTTGCCTAGTTTAGCAAAGACTCTGAAGTGGAGCAGCCTGCATAAATACGGCCTGGCCTAAGGAGAGCAGTCTAACTGAGGAATGAGTCATAAGATTCCTCCTACACGCCTTCAGACACAGCTCCAGCCTAAATGTTGGCTCGTCATCTACAGCCTCTCTGAGGCAGCTGCGAGGTCTGAATCTCCTAAAGATCCAATATGTGCACGAGAAAGAGAAAAATAGCCTTAACATGAAGAACCTTGTTAAAGCTAAAACTGAGATATTTCTAGAAATAGTAACTTTAACAAATTTAAAGTTATTTTTGTCTCACTTTTGTAGTTTTGTTTACATAAAGTCTTCACCACTAGTCCTTAACTGTCTGCCAATTTGTTGAAATCTCCTAGAGCTTTTAGATATACTGCTTGAATGCTGTAGCTACATCCCTCATTCCTACAACAGTTTTGGCTCTATTATAAGGTTCAGTCCTCAGTGACAGCACAGCCATCTGTGGCTGAGAGCCAATGATAGTATGATTGACTTCGCTCTGAGTGAGTTGGATGGTCCTCCCTCTGCTGCATCATCATAAGCATCTGTTGGCTTACACAATATTATATATGTATATAATATAGTATATATATATATATATATATATATATATATATATATATATATAATATAAGTATAAAATATATAAAATTAACAATGCTTTTAACCCAATATTTCACCCTTAGTCATGTAAATATATATATACATATTTAATTATTTTGTCATTTCTATAGTCCAACATCTACAAACATTTCGGTTTTAATTCAAGTACAACAGCCATTACAGTGTCAAATACTATAGTTTCATAGCTAGTAATTAGTATTTAGTCAATAAAAGTAATAAAAATCATCATTTAAAATAAAACAGCTGTCACTACTTTGTGAAAAATAACTATTTGCTACTTTGTGAAAAATAACTATTTTGTATTTTTAAAACGTTATACCGTACATTAATTAACGATTAGGCTTTCCATCACATTTGACATATCGGTTAATTTTTGATAAAAAAGTGTTTCTAACCCACATTTATAATAAGCTATTCCTGCAAGTCTATAAAGCAGTTTAAAAAAGGATTTAGATTGTAATTATAAACTCCTCCTTTAGAGTGTGAAATGATTAATTTAAGCCAAATTCACAATGTAAGTACTTTCCAAAAATGTGCTGTTCACAAATCCAAAAAAAAGCAGCTATTGTCAGTAAGTGCTGGTATTCTGCCAACTGGCGGCGCTAAGGTAGAATCTGCAGACGGTGCTATTTCCAGAGGAGATCATTTCATTAACAGCATTACAAGCATTATTTGAAACCTGCTGAATTATATTATTTAATTGTGTCAATTGATTAATTGAATAAGTGTCAAATTTTGTGTTATGTCTTCACTCTGGGTCTAATCAAATCTAGGCTGTTTCAAGAAGTCTCACCATGGAATATCAATATTATCTGCTCATTTCTGCTAAATGACTGTTCAGTGCATTACTCCAATAAATATTTCAAAAACAATAAAAATACACTAATCACTTTTTAATTAAACATTTTGATCTGAATCTGAATTGAACAGAATTATAAAAATCTCCAGTTAACACTCCTGCAGTTATGACTGCTCTTATAAATCTGATAGAAACATCTTCATATCTTTTGTGCATATGCAATGATTTCATGGAGATTCTTGGCTTTATCCATTACAAAGTTATGATACATTAAGTTGTTTATCCATGATCATAGTTTATGGTGTTTAATTCAATGACTAAATGTTTGCATTTTTGCAGAGCTTTTAAAAAACGCTGCCCTCTAGTAGCCTCTAAACTGGTATGTGTTGCACAGGCTTCATTGCTCTGGGTTATTAGTGAGCCAATGCTGCTCTCTTGTGGTGAGATGTCATTTACAGCACTTAAAAGGGAGCCATTCTCAAAACTGCTACATCATTTAAACGTTGAGGTGCAAACTTTCCAGTGACATTCACACTTTATGACTTGGATGTATTTACAGTGGTGATGATAGGTACCAGAAGTCACAATGTCTACAACAAAATTTAGCCATTTTATTTACTATCTAAAACAACCAGTGAAACTTCACATCTTCTATTTTTTTATATGTAATGTTGATGATGGTAAAATAGCAGTAAATCCAAAAAACAAGACGCCCTGTATGTACCACTCCACCAGATGATCTCAAAATCAAAATCATTGAGTAGTGAATTAATAATCATTTCATGTAAGAACTTATTGTGAGGAATCTTTGAGTCATTAACCACTTTAGAGAGTGTGTGATATTACATGGATTGGTGTCTAAATATTTTGGAGAATCGTTGAATACAAACCTTGTTTTTCATCTTGCTTCTCCATTATCATTGGCACAACAGAAAAACAGCTTTAGGCTACCTGATAAACAAGATAAACATGAGTTATATGATATATCCAACCCTGCAGTAACAGTCTGAAAAGCATAATGGGCACTGCAATAAAAGATAATCTAATGGTTTTACGAAGGACACAGAGTGAATGTTGTAGCTAATTAAGCTCCCTTCCCATGCATTATGAGCAGCCTCATTAACGCTTATGGGAAAGGTGTTCATTTTCTATTGTTAGCCTACTAGATGTAGGTCTGAATTCAGTCCACCTAGCTTATAAAAAAGTTTAAAGAAATGTATAAATAATTAATAAGATAATCAAAAGCACTATAAGGTAGAGGTTGTTTGACTATTGATTTTTACTTGTCAACTAGTCATTCAAATAAGTTATTTTTAATGAGGTTCTGGTAATGAGCGTAGCACTGTGTGTCATTAGATTGGAATGAATAAAGATTTCTGAATACCATGTACTCTTCCAAAATCTGTCTTCTGTTTATTTATGTGTATTTTCATACACATTTAAGGGTATGTTGGTGTGTCTAAACAGAATACAAAGAAAACAAGCCTGTACATACACAATAGTCACATTTCATCTCTGCCCAAAGAACAAGTATCTCCAAAATAATACCTTTAAAGGAGAGTACATGAACTTTAACCTTTAATGCAAGTTAATATAAAGAGAATTTATTCCAAGCAATTTTGAAGCATTTCTATTGGTCCATTCATCATGAAATGTTTTACATAATGTAAATAACAGCTGCTGAACTGAAATGATGTAGAAAAAAAAAAAACGCCTAAAATGGAGATACACTTATGGTTTGTTTTTTTGTTTGTTTGTTTTTTAAACAGCAATGATTCATTCACTCCAGCCACATAAAGTCACTCTTACTCACTGTTAAAAAAGTGCTGTATCCATGTCCTCTACGTAAGCTATCCATAACACTGTCATATTATCTGCTGTAAGTAACAAAACTCAAGATTACAATATTCAGAATCAAATATATGCTGAAACAGCATGACTCACTTAACATAGGTTTGAACATTGGGCCTCATTCACCAAGTGTTCTTAAGAAGAAAATTCTTCTTATAACCTACTTACGCAGTTCTTAGGTAATCTACACACACTCAAGAGCACAAAGGTGCGAACAATTCTGTGGCTTAAGAACATGTCATGAATCTGATGTGGTCTTTTTCTTAGGACCTTTCTCAAGAACAAATTTAAGAAAAAACTTTTTCATATTTAAGTTTGTTCTCTGTAGAGGCATGCTCACCAACCCTGCTCCTGGAGATCTACTTTCCTTCAGAGTTTAGTTCTTACCTGCATCTTACCTGACACTAATGCATGTGATCCAGCCAGTCATGGACTTCAGTCAATGAGCTGGAGCAGGTGTAGCAGACTGTGGCTAGAAGTGGATTCTGCAGGATCTCTAGGACCAGTGCTGGTGACCACTGCTGTAGAGGATGTGTTAACTTATTTTCACTTAGAAAATCAACAAAACATGTAATTTGACCAGGGTTTTCCAAACTTTTGCATATGATTGTATATGCATCCATCTGGTATGAAGTGATCTATAAATAGGTATCATTATTATTATTATTATTATTATTATTATTATTATTATTATCATCATCATCATCATCATCATCATCATCAGCCTGGGTTCGATTCCCCAGCCGGGCAACCAGAGTCCTTCTGTGAGGAGTTTGCATGTTCTCCCTGTGTCTGTGTGGGTTTCCTCTGGGTGCTCCGGTTTCCTCCCACAGTCCAAAGACATGCAGTCAGGCTGATTGGACACGCTAAAATGCCCCTAGGTGTGAATGTATATGTCTGTTTATCTGCCCTGTGATGGACTGTGACCTGTCCAGGGTGTTTATTTCCTTCTGCCTAATGAGCGCTGGGATGGGCTCCAGCACCTCCTGCGATCCAGGAGGATAAGTGGCTTAGAAGGTGTGTGTGTGTGTGTGTGTGTGTGTGAGAGAGAGTGAGTGAGTGAGTGAGTGAGTGAGTGAGTGAGTGAAAGAAAGAAAGAAAGAAAGAAAGAAAGAAAGAAAGAAAGAGAGAGCGAAAGAGAGAGATTATCACTTAGTACTTTGAGAACACGTGTACTGCATGTCTCAGGAAAGTGAACGTCATAAATACGTTTCTACACAAACCAAAGCAGACCATTTGTTACAGTATACATACTTTTATTTACATTCTATTTCTTTGAAATGGCCTTGAAACAGTCAGAAATCTATCAGAAAACTGTGTGAATGACTGCCACTGAACCTGTACATGAGTAGAAATCGTGAACCGGGTGAAAGGCTGACACAAAAAGTCCCCATACTGAGTTTTCATAGAGCTATTGCACAGCCTTTGCTAGGTTATTATACAGCCACCCTTCTCCTTGAAGGGGTTCTTGTCTTCAGGCACTCCTTTAATAAGAGGATCTTCAGCTGACTGAGCTTCAACAAACTCACAAATCTCCTTCGCTGTTTTGGAGACCTTTGGAGAGAGAAAGAGAGAAAGAGAGAGAGAGAGAGAGAGAGAGAGAGAGAAAACTCAGAAAACACTGAAGTCCCAGAAGAGGTAAACATCGGTGATAAAATCAGTTAGTGAAACAATAAATTATGAGAGCCTGTGCACTAACATGATTTTAGATGAGACACAAGGCTTTCTGCTTTTATAAAATGATAATTAAATAGAATATGATAAAATACATAAATATTCAATAAATAATTTAGTTTATCATTAATATTAATCACAGTAATCAATCGTTGCTGCAAAGCAAAGTAATTCTATAACACTAGGCTATGGTTGCCAAGCAGCACAGAGTATAAAATATCTTTCACTTGCACTGTCATATGTTTGTGTATATCCAGTATTTTCCAGTGGCTTTAAATATACATTTTTTAAACCGTTTTGTAATCTGAATCTGAAGCTTCTCTCTTCCTCTGCCTTCTCTTTTTTTTCTGTATAGAGATACTTACTGGCTCTCTTGTGTTCTTCGCCTCCTTCTGAAGCTGCTCAATCTCCATTTTCAGGATGTCTTTATCAGACATATCCCGCGCCATCTTGCCCTAAGAAGAGGGTTCACTTTATTTCACATACAATTAACTGATAGAACTAAAACATATCTTGATAGCTTCTGTGATACTGCTCATGCAAGTCATTTCAACTATTAAAACAATGTGGACAGTGTGACAGTGTGACAGCCCTTTTCACTTTTGAATCACAATTTGCTTGTTTAGGCCATGATTACCCCCCACACCCCATAAATAATCATAATGATTAATGATAATGATTCCTCTCCATAAATAAATTATATTTAATAATGGCATTTTCACAGCTATATTCCTTGGTGTGGTCTTAGTCTATTCAATAGACTTTAGCATTTGTTTTTGTTAAAACACTGAAGTAGGTTGATGACTAAAGGTTTTGGTAAGGGATATGTACACATCTTGAGAATTTTTATGACTTATTACTAATCATGTAGTATAGCTGAGAATAAAATTAGTCTGATAGTACACCATTTCATATATTAATTTATACCATTATAAACATTTATTTATACCACACTAAAAACTTCACCACTTGCACATTAATATATTACACATCGACCCAACTTTGTCTTTTAATTTACTTACTTTTGGAAATAACAGTCTTGATGTGATATAATGTATATGTGGAAAAGATATATGACATATGTCTATACAACATAGACATATTCAAACAAAATTCATTGCTTTTTTAATGTGGATTGCAGTTTTTAAATATAGTTTTCATCCTTTGGATCCCTTGACCTGTTTCTTTTAAATTCTACTTGAAAAATAAAGAAAAAACACCAAGAAATAATCTATTAGCACTATCTGCTGTTTTAAGGCCTAAGTCTTTGCAGTTGAGGTGCTACACTTACCTATTGAAGAGGTGGGCAGAGGATGGAGAGACCAGCTAGTTTTTTGTCTTTTTAAGGGACCATGCAGGTGGACTTCTGGAGATGCACTGAGCACTCCTGACTTGAGCCTTGGCTTCTTCATGAGCACCACCAGATGGTAAGGGGTGGCGGAGGGAGGAGACTGTTCCCCAACAAACACCCCTCCGCCCCGATCTGATTAGCTTAAGCCAATTTAGTAATTAGAGGTCAAATCATGGAATCAGGGTAGCGGAGTTCCTCAAGGCTCAACCTTAAGGCCTCACATCTAACTTTCTCCAGTTCCTGTGCTCCAGAACCTTAGGACACCTGCACAGGCTCTGCCTGTACCTGTGGGGATTGGCAAGATATGGCTTCATCCAGCTTTAAGAAATCTAATAGATTAAAGCCATGACCTCTTAAAGAGCACTAAACCTAGTGAGTTAGTGGGAGAAGGGATCATGTGGCCCAAACATGACCCATTACCAGTTCATAAACACCTTTTCTAAAAGATCAATTTTGTCCTTTTCAACTGAATTGCAGTTTGTAGCTTTAAAATGTTTTTTTATTTTTAGAATGTGGTTTGCTGACAGGTTACAGGTTCATGTTGCACCACCAATATGTTTTTCATATATTTGAAAGCAGCCCCTGTCCTTTACATAGTGTAAACATTTTATGAGTGGACCTATACAAATGGCTCAAAAGTACTTGCAATGTTGTTACATTAACATACATTAAATTTTACATTTTTCCTTCTATAAAGTTACTATTTCAGAGATGCAGCAGCAGTGTTGGAATGTTCTATAAGTAAGCATTAGTGTCATACCATGTGATCTATGATAGTAGTTAGGAAACGTCCAGAAGGAAACAACTACAGTAACCTATGACCCATCTTATTAGATGGCTAGACAGCAGGGTCAAATCCCACCCCTTAACTGCTGATGGTAAACACTACAATCCCTCCGACCTGATCCCTTACTGCAGGTGCTGGTTTAGGTGAGCAAGGCAGGGGGCAGGAAACAGGCGGCTTCCTTGGAAACACGTTTAAAATAGCTCACCATCACTATCTATAGTGGTGAGAAGTTAAGAAGCTTGCTAGTTTCCATGTTCAGTTCAAATGAGGTCCAAATTGGGTTTATTACCATAAAAAGGACAGACTGCAGAACTATTCATATTCAGATGTTTAAAACTGACACTATGGCCTTTAACCTGTAAACTTAAGGATCTTATGTTTGGTCTCTCACTGTCTGTGCTGATTAATGACCCAATTAATGCAGAGGCCAGCATCTTGATTTACAAGCGTCACCTCCACTAATCTCATTTCAGGGTTTGTACTGTCTTAATCCCAGAGATTAGGGACTACATCTTGTCACTCTCCTCTTGAGAATTTCACTACAACTTGACAATAACATGAAATAAATCGCAGGATATGATTTATCATATTATTCACTTGAAATATTAAATAAAACATCTAAGCACACCTTCTGGAGAATAGTTTGTAATATTTAAATCTAAATTACTGTTGTGTATAACAAAAATGGTTTAAATGGCAAGCAATTCCCAACTTTTGCATGGTACAATAAATACTATTATGAGACTGTTTTAGGAATATTATAAGGTTAGTCAACTTATTTCTAGATGGTTTACTTGTTGTAAATAGATAAGAAGAAAATGATCTTATTCTATTCTGAATAGAACTAGTTAATTTACTTATAACCACATGAAGTAGTTTTTTCAGGTTGAACTGACGAGCCATTTTTTTACAGTGTACTACAATAATTTCTAATAATAGAATGATTGCAGGTAATTTCACTAACATCTTTTGCAGTGCAGAACATTATTCTGCAGTTCACACTGTATTTACTTTCATCTTGTTTATAGTTTGAGAAGACAAAACTCACACCGCTTGCTTTTTTGGGGGGTAAAATCTTTACTGTGAACAGGCAAATGAATACATGAAACTTCAAAGAAAACAATAATAACCTGGGTCAAACCCAACCCAAAGACATTGAGGCAGTGCTCACGTTGTATATGAAAGATTTCATGTTACACATGTGCCAAAAAAATAAAATAAAGTGCATAAAATGAAATAAAGATAAAATAAAGCAATAATTTAAAAATAAAATTAAACCAAGAAGTGCATCGTCACACTGATTTTGGCCCAGAGTAAAGCAGGTTTTTCTGAAGCAGCAACAAAATCCAATATGAAATGTAAAATACACCAAATGTTCAAAAAATTATTTACATTATTCATAGTAAACGCAATAAACAGTTCCTTCACCAAGCAATGTAGTGGCATCCACCAAGGGCTGCACTGCTGTAGGAGCTTGGGAGACGAGGACATGGAAAGATGCTTATTGTTCTTAATTTGCTAACTTTGTTGTTAGCTCGAGATTATGGTGTTTATGTGTTGATGGTGTGTTATTGTGTTGGGCTGTGGGTTTAACTGTGTGGATTAGTGTGTCTACCATAAAGTGAAACCATATGGCAAGAAATGACTTGCCTGCTGTCCCCTGCCTGCTTTCACTGTATGGTAGCTTGATTTTTTGCCACTTGCAAGTGCTGAAGTGCTCACACAACGCATAAAAACACAGCTAGATGAGCTAAGCCTCTTTCTGTAGTCATGGTAACGACAGCTTCCTGCTTCCGCTGAACGTTGGCAAGGGCGTCTCACAGTTTACCCACTTATTTACATCCTCTTCCTTAACTGCGCTCTCCATAGGAGCAAATATAACAAAGAGTGACATTTCACAGTGAAGTGCTAGTATGGAGGGACCAGTTTAGGGAAGTTTAAGTTTATTTAGAAAAGGTGGCACTAGGCAAAAAAAGGCTCCATGAAAACTGTGCAATTGTGTGTAGAAACAAACAATGCCACCAGCACCCAAACACAGAATCACTGTGGATATAAGGGCTGTGCTCTGCTGAAAAACCCACAAGACAGGCCACCTTTGAACAACAGCAGCTCACCATCACCGCCTTGTGGATAAAACCTTCAGTACAGTCTGTGATTCTGATATAATGCATGCTTTTTTTTATTTGCTGAACACCAAAGAGACAAGCACATGCTGTTCTTTGTCAAAGGACATGTCATACAATTTTCTATTGACTTACTTGAGGTAATGGTCTTCTGTGGGTCCATTTAAGAGAAACACGTCAAAAGAACACCGGTATACCTCCTGAAAGCTCCTGCTTCAGTACTTAATGCACTTGAGATGGTTCTTAAAGAAATGATGGGCCAGTTTTCCCTGTTCATCATTCATTAGGTACCTGTATTTACTATACTTAGAAAATATGTTCCTGCTCTGATGACCAACTGAGAATCCTTTGCATGTTGCGACCATCAGAGCTCCCAGTCCATCAATGAAGAACTCTTTAAAAAAAAACAAAAAAAAAAACAAAAGGACAGTAACAGAGAGAGAAGAAGAGTGCCAAGTAATGAGATTTGTGTTATGCAGATTGCTCCTGTGTATGCACAGAACACACTACAGACTAACTCAACAAAACTAGTGCACTAATTAGGGATGGGGAAAAAAAAACAAAAAAAAAACAATACTTAGATACGTCACGATTCTCCTCATAAATATTCTGAATCGATTCACAAGATATCGTAATCAGGTTTTTATGTAGGCTCTGCATTTCCCCTATCTCTATATAAATATCCTACTTTATAAAGTCTCACATACACCCAGAGACTTTACAAAGTAGGATATTGTGGCAAAGCTTGAAAGAGTAAAATAATGCCGCATCTCACTAATGCATGCATTTCTGCAGACACAATTTGGTCACAAATTCACATATATGAAGTCAAAGACCCAAAACCATAGTAAACCCTACATACAACAGCTAGCTCAGGAGGTGCTAACCAGATAACAGGCTAATCCAGCAATATTCAGATAAGTTTTAGAAACGTTTACTGAAAGATTAACTGTAATGCTTTAGTATATGCTGAGGATTTCCCAGAGTGTGATATATACTGTGAGGAAAATAAACAGCCTTTTCTGTACAGTTTAAGTGTCCTGAATGGTTCGGATGAATTGTAACAATATATTACTTCATGGTTTCCCCACAGGTTTCTACAGCTGCATTCCGCTATAACGACAGAAAACACTGTTTTAATATGTAAAAGCACATGGATGTGGCTTTTGAATGCACCAATGCATGGTAGTGTGGAGTTTCTCCAGCAGGTGCACCATTAGATATGTAAATCACTTTACTGTACATCATTTGAAGAGAAGAACAGCCTGAACACACATGTTTGCAGTCAAAACTTTCACAATAAGAGGTGAAATAGTTTTCAAAAAATGATGTTACCATCACAGGATGGTCAGGGAGCAGACCCAAGCACAGAGAGGAAAACCTGTGAGGATTGGTCTTAAAACTGATAAGTGAAAATAACACATAAAATATAGACTTATTCATTCACCTTCTTGGTAGTTCCATAATATGACGGGGTGTAATAAACAATGATATGGAGACAGTGAGCGTGTTGTGTACTGTTAGAGGAGAGTAACCCCCAGCTGCAAGCCCAGTGCTTTCCCACTGCACAGGCGTTAAGCAGAATTACACTACTCTTAATGGTGGGGAAAAACAGTCGGAAAAAGCACACAAAGAAGACGCCAATATGGTGTCACACAAATAAAGGATAAATTCAAGAAATCGACTAAGTACCAAACCAAAACAACTCACAACTTTCCCTTTTCTCTTTTCTTCAACTAGCTTAGAGCAGTGCATTGTTTCCTCTCTTTGTTTGCTTTTTTTTTTTTTAACCATTTTCATCTCTTTCTTTCTCTTTCTTTTTGTCATACCGTACCGGTCACCCCTCTACAAAGGTGTGACAAGGGGGTGCACCTGGTTGGCACTGATTACCCCTTGGTATTCTGGGATTTTGAGTTTCCCGGGGTAACAGTGCCTCATCACCATCGGCCTCTGCTGGCAGCCGGCAGCACAGGCTGACCCTTTAGAGTTACTTAGTTTTATATTATTTAATATATGATTTTCATTAAATTAGTTAATGTTTATAGCCTACATTATTATATAAAAATTCTGATGTTGCTGTATAAATCAAAGATGGATGTGCGTTAAAATGATTCAAGATCATCATTTGCTAATCATATCTTAGCACAATAAATCAAATTTAATCATCATGAGGTGCCTATAGATTCACATCCCCAGCAGTAATGTAGGTTAAGTTATTGTATCTTTCTAAGAGTCATGGGTGTAAAACTGCATAAACAGCAAAGAAGAACTTCTTACCTGTATGAGCTACTCTGTTCAGGAAAGGGTCAAAACCAACCCTTCGCACCGCATCTGTCCGGGCCAGAAAGAAATTGACCACTCCATCTACTAGGTAACAGCCATCGAAGCCAGGCAACGGGCTGTGTGCCTTCCTGAAGGACCGACTCATGCAGCCACCCTCATTCTCATCCCCTACATCATACATAAGACTAAAGTAGAAATGGTTCCCACCAACATCTCCACCAAGCTGAGAAAGGACAGGGGAGATTCATGATCAAACCATAAACCATCCAGTAAACTACAAGGACTGAACACAGGCTTTCTCACCATGATCACCTGTTTCTCATTACTCACCACATCCAGCTCTGGAACGGCCTCCATAACCTCCACAAAGCTCTCAATTTGTGGCTTCTCATGGAACACGTAGTCATCGTCTACCCACAGGAAGTATTTGCTGGTGACCTGTGAGATGGCCAGGTTTCTGCCTGCAAACCAGCCCTGAGGGAGTGTCATTTATATTCACATTTACTCATCAGAGAAAGACGGTTAATGGCCCAAATAATAAGATGAGCTCAGTGTTAAAATGAAACGACATGAAATGAAAGGAATATGTGTAAATAACTGGAGACACAGTGAAGCTAGTATTTAACTGTCAGGACTTAATGCTCAATGGTGAACTGAACTGGCAGTCTTCAGTGATGATGCAAACACCCCTAGTACTGCTGCTACAAACTACCCATACTGGGTACCTACTTCATTAAATGTAATAATTACTTTATAGTAAAAGTGTAATTATTTTTATTCAGTACAACCACAAGCTTCAATTTAAAATTATGATAATAAACATAATTCTGACATAGTGTGTTTACCTGTGCAGGAGGCATGATGTAATGTTCTATGTTGGTTCCAGAAACACTTTCAGGCTTTAGGCTGTCATCAGCGACAATGATCTTAATGTCTGGATAAAACTGGCGGATGCTGTTGATGAGAACCTTTAGCTCAGCGTATCTGAGAAAAGTCTTAGTGGCTATGGTCACCAAGGAGTTGATGTCTAAGAAGAAAAAAGAGGAGGAAAAGTATCTCATCATTCAAGTGTTTGCTTTGGACCGATTGGATATTCTGTTTAATACACAGTGCATTATAATTACAATAATCATACTACATTTCAGTATTAGCAAAGTCCATAAACATTTCACCAAAATCAAGCACGTGGTGGAATATGGCCCAAAAAAAAAGATCTCCATTTTTTGCGATTTTTATTTTTCTACATCATCTGAACACAGCAGCAGTCTTTTATAGTGTGCGGACATTTCAACATTTCATCATGAATGGAGATAAATGTGTTTATATATATATATATATTCTATTCGGTGTATTTATGGTAGGCTCATGTTAATTGGATTGTTCAGTAAGCTGGCACTTTGTGGTTATTGATGGAAATTGGAGAAGCATAAACATGGCAAACCAACAAAAACTTTAAAAACCAATAAGAGAATCCTGAAAACAATTCTAAAACAGACACTGTCATTACTTTAAAAGAGGTGTTAGACTTACTGAGCAAGGACTGATGTAACATTTATTGAAGAGTACGTATAATTATGTGCTCCGTGTGAACACAGAACCCCTAGGTAAGCCTTGTTGTTCTTTGAAGCTTTAACAAAGGATTTGCCATGTACGGTTTGTGCTCTCACCTTCTCCAGGATCATAGAGAACAGGTACTGAAGGCCTGCGGATTGTGATGGGGAATATTGCCTCATGGTCCTCGAAAGAGAAGGAAACTGAAGAAAGAAACCTTTAAGTTAGTAGAGAGATAGAGTATTTAATGTATGTGTAGCACTAGCTAACCTTGCTAACACTAGAAGTCAATAGTCACCCAAATCTTTTCTGCAAATACATCCCCAAAACTTCTCTCAACCTGTTTGAACCACATCTAGGAATTCATGAAAGTCGCACAGAATTAATGTGAAACATAAAAAGAAACAAACTTCACTACATAGCCAAACACTGTGGTCAACCATTTTAGACAACCAGTGTTGCGCCGAATTCTGACTTCCCTGCAGAATCTGTCTCCGATTCACATGCATCACACAGATACATGGATGCTACACTTGTTTGTGATTTTCTCAGCTTTCTGCAGTTTAGGCATATAAGATCAGATAACCCAAGATTAAAAGTTGTTTATACACAACCTGTGACCTCTATATGCCTGCACAACGCTTGCATGTGAAGGGGGGTCAGATTTTGGCACAACACCCTAGCTGTTTAAAATAGTTTGCAGCATCTACATTTTGTTTATTTATTTTAGTTAACATTAAGTCATACTGTGTCCTAAACCAAGTCAACAATGCTATTTAGTGTGAACATTTTTTCACACCTTTAAAGGTCAGTCTTAGAATTTGGTTGCATTTCCTGCTTCACACAATCTAAGTAATCCCAAAAACATTCAATGCTGTGGAGGTCTGGACTATGGGTTGTTCTGAGAACACCAGCAGCTTTTTTTTATTTGTAAATGTTTTAAAGTTTTCTTGTTTTCTTCTAGACACTGAAAAAAATAAATAACTTCTAATTAATGGGTGTTTTGACTGGAAATGAAATAAATGAAAGAGTGATCTATGGCTTTTGCACAGTACTATATATCCACGACAGCTCAGTCTACCAGTTTGACCACCATGCTGTACAATGCGGTGCAAACCTCTTCCGCACGCCACGGACCCTCCTGATGATACTGCTGCACAGACTCTACCTATTTAATCATCGCCATTGCTTCACGTGTTTCTCCCCTTTTCTGTATTTTAATATTTTATACTAATGTTAAAACCTTATTCTCTGTTCATACTGTGCTAAATAAAAGCGCTATATAAATAAACCTTCACCTGACTTAAAATATTAACTGATGTAGTTACAGAAAATTTGGGACTCGTAAACCATTTTTTTTGCTGCTTACAACTTCACAATGTTTATGAGGACAGTCCGAATGCAGCAATACAAAGCCACGCCCCTGGCTTTGGGTGTTTGTCTGCTTAACATTGAGCCCTACCCATGTCACTTGTCCTGATGTGGTAGACAGTGCTGGTGTACATCACTCTGCTCAGCAGATGGCTGATAAGGTCCAGGCGAGTGGAGGAGATGGTTAATGTGCTCTGGTCCTGCCCCTCCACCTGCACTCCCTCCAGATCACTGCTCACTGATAACACACCTTTCTGCACACTCAGAGACACCTATTAGCACGGCAGGTAAACACAGATTAGGTTAATTTATTTTTTATACCCCTCCACCCAGCACTTGGCATTAGGAATGGTAACCTTATGTGCTCAAGAGCGTCCCATTCTATCGGGAATGCTTTTCTATGGAGCTATGTGAGAGTAACTGAAGACCTGTGTCAACAACAGGTGCACCTTACAATAGCTGAATGCTGAATTCACCAATTGTCTGGATATGTCTAGACATATAGACGGCATTATATTGCAGCTTTTCAACCATCACCCAGAAAAGAAAATCAAATCAGTCAGACAGGCAGATGATTTCAAGTCCTGCATTCAAGCAAAAACACTGAAGGAAACATTACTCTTAAGCTTGCAGCATAAAAGTTTGAACACCCCTGGTGAAATTATATGTTTTGATGATTTTCTGTGTGAAAAGTTAACACATACTTTAAATGGAACAAATTTAAAATGTTGTATATTTTTGCAAATCTTAATGAACAATTTTTGCCAAATCACTCAGTCTTTGAAAATAACTGTAAATAACAATACTTATTAGCAGGGACGAATTGTCAGTTACAAAGTCAGCAACCCCAACAGAACTAAATCAAGTATTTATAATAGAAGTCAGCCAGGACCAGAGATACACTATATGACCAAAAATATGTGGACATCTATACATCGCACCCATATGAGCTTGTTGGACAGCCCATTACAAAACCATGTGGATTAATATGGAGTTGGACCCTCTATTTGCAGCTATAACAGCCTACACTATTCAGGAAAGGCTTTCCGCAACATTTTGAGGGAATTTATACCCATTTGGTCAAAACAGCATTTGCAATGTTCTGGCTCTGATGTTGGACAAGAAGGCCTGGCTCATAATCGACGTTCCTATTCATCCCGAAACAGCAAGGGGTGTTCCCCAAACTGCTGCCACAAAGTTGGAAAGCATATAACTGTTTAAAATGTCGTTGCTGTAGCATTAACATTAACCTTCACTGGAACTAAGGGGCTGAGCCCAAACACTGAAAAAGACCATTATCCCTCTTCCACCAAAATTTACTCTTGGCGCTATGCATTCCGATAGATAGCCTTCTTCTGGCATCTGCCAAATCCAAATTCATCCATCAGACTGCAAAATAGTGAAATATTATTCATCAGTCCGAAGAACATGTTTCCACTGCTCCAGAGTCCAGTGGCGGTGTGCTTTACACCACTCCCCCCTCTTTGCTTGGCATTGTATGTTTTGAAATTAGACCTGTGTGTAGCTGCTCAGCCATGGAAACCCTTTTCATTTCAGTGCGACCCATTCTACTGTAAAGCATATACAGGAAAGAATAAAGACGTCAAAGAAACCAGCGACAGTCCCTCCACCTCCAGTATCCCACAAGCAGCAACAAGCTTCCCACATGCACTCTGTTCCAAGCAATAGTGTTTTGTATAATCATACCTCATATTTGGCCCTCTTGTCTGCATGCAAAGCTAAACCTACAACAAAATATCACTTTACCACAAACCAACCATCACTTGCAGCCTGGCATTAAAGATTTTAACTTAAACATCATTACAGAATAAAATACAGCTGAGGTAAAGCATGTACTCCTTACCTGGTATCAAACTTTTCTTCATGGGAATGACTGTTAATCCATAAATAGGGTACTGAAGTGGCGAGTTGGGTAGAGCGAGAATAATCTTGTTGAAATTTGTTGTTGTCCTAATAAAGACGCATGATGAAAGAATGAATATCTCAGAGATCTCTGAACAAAAGACTGACACTAGAACTTTGATACAGCCTACTGAATGCCTGGGTAGGCCGAATACAAAAATATCTGAATTACTGGGATACTCTAGAATTTGTTTGTTTAATCTAAGCTCTAACTGAATCTCCTAATCTGCCACATGTAAAATTTCAGACAATAATTTCAGCGCATTTCTCTGTATTTAGAAAAAAAAAGATTCACAGTGACACTTTTAATAGAAATCAATGGGCAGTTGCTTCATGTCAATGGCTTTTTTGTTGTCCAAGGTACTCAACTGCATATAATAGAGATTAGACTGAAATATGATGGTAGTATTCCAGCATTTTTATACAGCATATATGGTAATATATAGCTATTGACTACAATTTTTTTAAACTTCAAAATTCTTTAAACAAAATAATTGACTGTTTTTTTTTCAACATTTCTGTATGATTCAGTTGTTGAGATGTAAACAAAGTATGTCCTGTATAACTTATAGAGTTAGATGTCTTTGCTGATAAGAACTGGGAGTTGCAATGTATACAACACAAATATGGCTTTTTATTTACTATTCAAAGTTACCAGTGAACCTAGACCTGTCTTCTGATTTGTTATATGTCATGTTATTAACAGTAAAACAGTGGTAAATCTGGATAAATTAGTTGTCTTTGGGGACAATACGGGGAGAACTGTTTTGCCTCACAGTGCCCTGTATGTACCTCTCCACCTTGAATGATCTTTTTTTTTTTACGTTTATGATTAAACCTTATCTCAAAACTACTGTAAAACAGGGCATTCATAACAATTTCATTTTAAAGTAATAACATTCCGTGTGCAAGCTTTCAGAAGCACTATACTGTTCAGACATCTCGTTTCCTACTCTGAATTATTTTGTTTACATCTTAACAATTAAATTTTTGGGAAAAAAAGGAGAAATCTAGTCTAGACCCACCAAAAGGTGAATGCTAAGGAGTTAATTTAAGGCTAAAAGAAATCTATATCCAGAAAAGCATTCCAATGGGCCTTCTTCAATAATAAAACCTGTAAAACCTAATCTGGTGTTGCCTGTACTCCTCTGCCCGACGGTTCTCAACAGCCCAAAGGTTTTCCTTTGGCACTGTACTGATGAGATGATGCCCTTTACAGGTGCATGAGGAACGGTTTACACTGAGAAGCAGCCTCTTGCTGACAACACAAGAAAAACAACAACAACAAGTGAAAACAAGCACCAGTCCTGAACAAGTACCTGTACTGTACTCTGAAGTATGTAATGATAAAGAAAAAACTCTTTCAACACGTTTAACATTTTTTAAATTTGTTTTTTTTTCATGCTTCACAAATAGTGTTACACTTTATACTTTACATTGTTAAATTTTAAATAATGTTAATCTTTTTAACCATAAATCAGTCAAATACCTTTGATTTTTGAAATGAAAGCTTTCAGAAGAATCCATATTTCTGCTCCCTTTAAATGCAAAAGATGTGCTGTGAAAAAATAAATGAATAAAAATTAAATGTCACCTATGACCAACCTAAAAGAGAGGAACTTTTTTTGTTTGACAATCTTAAATTTGTACCTTGAGAATGATTTGCTACCACTTGATGTAAACAAGATGATTGTCACGAAGATGGCAATGACAATCAAAGTAAACAGGACATACAGCAGGCGCCTCATCATGATGGACAGTGATCTGCAGAGGTCATAAATATATCAACAGTCTGGTTTACAAGCCTGAGATTGAATAGAGGGCGCAGATAAGAGAGACAGACAAGTTATTGCTGCTACAATAAAACAGAATATCCTATTAAAGGTGCCATAGAATGGAAAACTGTATGAACATTAACACAGCTGAATAAGGAGAGTTTGGTACACAGAACTGACATACTGCTAACCTCACACACTGCTGTCTCCTCCTTCAAATGCAAATCCTACATTTGTGAAAGAGGGTGGTAAAACGGGACAAATAAAAAATCCTAAACTATTTAGCGTAACAGAATTGACTCATTAATATTCATACACCCAAAATTTACATACACCTTCCAGCCCAGCAGGAAACAACAGAGCGTCTTTCCAGGCTGTGAAGGGGGCGTCGGCGGTTATTTTTCAAAGAAGCGAACTGACCGCGAGCTTGGCTGATGTCCATCTTTAACCAAGGCTGAAGTCGGCTTCCTATTGGTCAGCTTATTGATTGAATGTTTCGTTTCACCTTAAGTGCTCACGTTACGGCTTGTACGGGCGCCAGAATGTAACCACAGCACCACTTAAGGTGGAACGGAAAATCTTCGAAACAAGCTGGCGAATAGGAGGCCAACATCAGCTCCCACATCTCCGATACTATTCCGGACAGCTTTAAATAAAAAATGCCAGTTTACTCTGCGGGTTTTATTCGGGACAGTTTCTCAAACCTTAGACAATAACGAGCAAGGCTTCACTCAGCGTTTGACCCTGAATAGAGGGGCAGGTCCACCTTTATTAGCATCACAACCCCAGCCACAACCTGTAAGTAGCAGCCATGCTGTGTGATTTTATGCACTTTTTGACAGTTTATTTTAAATGGCCAGGTCACCTTAAATTTAAATAATGATGTGCTTTATAATGTGCTAACAACAGTAATTTACTTTGCGTTTTAGTCGAGATTGAAAGCAAGTAGCTAGTATAGGTAACGTTAGCTACTAGCTAGCGCCAAGTAACTAGCATAGCTACGCTAGCTAGCTAACTAAATAGAATGACGACCGAACTTATTTACGAGGAGGTTCGTTTTATTTTCCTGTCTGTGTCTATTTCGACATGTCGCTACTGTGTGATATATTCATGAAAAATGAGAACAGGTCGTTTAATTCTAGGGCCAAATCACAGCGTTTTAAACCGGCATGTAAAACCACATCTGGGCATTTTTCACACCGACCAAAGTCGCATACCATCTATGTAGACATCAGAGAATCAAAATACTGAATAAATGTGGCACCTTTTAAGACTTAAACTTTAAGTTCTTCTTACTATTTGTAACTAGTAGCACCTTGTAACTATGCAAAATTAACATCCCTCAACAGGAGGAAGTTTGTGGGGGGAGACTTTAGTTTACTTTCTTGTAACATTTTAAAATTACTTGAATATAAAAGAGTAAAGCTGACATGGGTAGAAAAACAACAAAGAGTGTGTACCACCAATTGAGATCTGTATATTTATTTAGAGTGCATTAGAATGCAGTTGTTCATTCATGCACATGTCTATGCAAACAGGCTAAAAATGCATGACTGGTATTATTAGTGAATGTCAGTCAGCATTGATTAAAGGTAGAAGTGTTCATAATCACATTCAGCCAGTTCTTGACATCTTAGATTATGATTCTTATGTCTGTTATTTATTTGTTTTTTCTAAACAATTTTTTTATTTATTAGAGCATACACACTTAAAAATAATGGTTCTTCAAGGGTTCTTTAGTAAAGAAAATGGTTCTTTATAGAACCATGAACACTCAAAGAACACTTTGCATGATAAAAGGGTTCCTTGCAATGTGAAAGGGTTCTTAAGATTGATGGAGAATGTGCTGTAGATTGTTCTACATAGAACCTTTTTGTTGTTGTTCAAGAACCCTTTATTCACTATGAAGAACCCTTTATTCACTATGTGAAATAGGTCACTTTTGTGTGAAAAGGATCTCACCAAAATTCTAAACCAGGTCACGACTCAAGTCATTTCTAAGCAGTTCTGTTGAATATTAATGCTATTTATTTGGTGAAATTTGCATTGAATGTTTAATCTCTGGCTGGCCTTCAGGATTTTCACAGTGTCTCTGTACCATCACTGTTGCCTGTTTATTACTTCCTGCACCTCTGTACTGCCTGTCATGGTTAAATTAACTGTCTATGCTTTCACAAACATCGTAACCTAAGAAACCCATCCTAGATTTGTTCTACATACAGTAAAGTGACAAAGTGGACTTTGACTTTTATTGTCCCACTTGTTAATTATTACACGATACGGTGGAGAATTAGGGTGTGGAACTGACTAAAGATTCTTTACCACCTTTACCAGCACATGCGAGGAACATGCTTTATCCAGACAGTGATCTTCATTCGTTTTCAAATGAACAAGAGAAAAAAGCGTTATTATCCATAGCTAAATATGGAACCTGTCAAGATTCCTGCTTTTCACAACGCAACTTCAGCCTGAGGGAGCAGCTCCCTGGCTAGCTAATACTAGCAAAACAGCTACTGTGTTTACGATTTTCTTCTTACTTTGTTGTTTTAGAATAAAATTGTGGCTATTTATTAAACTTTCAATCTGTTGCGCATGTTTTATTGCGAGTGCCTGTCCACTCATAGCTTACGGTCACTCATCAATACAGTTTTGAGCAAAACAGCTACTGTGTTTACGATTTTCTTCTTACTTTGTTGTTTTAGAATAAAATTGTGGCTATTTATTAAACTTTCAATCTGTTGCGCATGTTTTATTGCGAGTGCCTGTCCACTCATAGCTTACGGTCACTCATCAATACAGTTTTGTTGTAGTTTTGGAGATAAACGGCCGCATAAGTCTGTTTTCACACTGGTCTCAAATACTTGAGTCTGCACCAAAATTGATCTGGTTCTGGGCTCATTTTGGGGGAGGGGCTCATTATCACCGGTTTGCTTTCACACACAAGAGTTCCATCCATGGATCCAACCATGGATCAATTGCACAATTCCATACGTCACTTTTTTGCGCACTGGTTTGCAAAATGGTAGGCACTAGTGTCGTCCGTTTGCTGCTTCTTATCATTTTTCTTGGATAGAAATACTCTAGCAGACCAATGGAGTTTTACGAGTTCTGGCTATTTGTGCTCAAATGCCTTCTTCGCTCCATATACCTATGAGGCTTTCTGTCTCCTCCGCTGTCCACAACCATCCTTGCCGCACCATCATGAAATTTGAAAAGGGAATTGATTTGATAAGTTGAAGCAGGCGCATTACAGCATGAACCAATCCTGCAACCCCACACGCAGCTTGGGAGCGGATAGCTTTTACAAACCCCAGGTTTCAGAAGGAACAGAGATCAGTTCTCTGGACCACTCCAACAGCTTTCACACTTGACCAAACGTACCGAATTCACAGAGCAAGTGGTCCACAGTATGGAAAAAAAAAAACTCTAGTGTTAAAATGCTCCTCCCCAGCCAACACAGTAAATTGTGACAACCTGTTGTTCTGGTGCCCAGAACGTAGTCACGTTATAAATAACGTGATTCTCAGAAAGTTGTAATGTTATCTGACAACATTCTAGGAGGTTGTGACAGCGTAGTGACAACGTTGTCATATATTGTCACAACCTCCTAGAATCCTTAATAAGCTCCATTATGTTGTGCATGGAACTCTGTGGAATTTTGCTGAGTTGTCAACAGGTAGTCATAACACCACACAACAATGTTACTTAATAATGAGGTTGTGACGTTTGACAACCTTGTTTCAGACAAGATACACAGCACCACCTTTTGACAAGGAGGAGGAGGAGGAGGAACTGAAGTTTCCGCATCTGGACTGTCACCTACTTAAAAATGCATTTGCAGGAATACATTTACCTCACAGGTCAAACTAGAAAGTGTGACAGTATTGTGTGTTTGCTGGGGAGAGGCTGTTTAGTTGTTTGTCTGTCAAATAAAGTAAAAATACTGTCTGTGGCTCCCTAAATGTAAGCAAACATTTAAGGAGCTAGGATTGTCACAAAAAAATTCATTATTAATGGAGCAATCGTCGTGTAAGTTTTACTCTTAATCAAGCAGTGTTTTTATATAGATTTAATTAAACAGTCACAAATTCTGCACAACCTCTTAGAGACTCTAAACAACTTTTAGAAAATCATCTTACCATGAAATGCGTCTAGTTTAATGAAAACCTTGTGCCTCACTCAGTACACAGAAAGATGTGTAAGCATGCACGAGCAGATCATACTGTGAGTAGCCTCAACTCTCCTGTAATATAAAGTTTGGCTTTAGTTTCGTCTGTTCAGATTATTTCTAAGAATGTAGCCGAGTCAACAGATATTTTCAGGTTGTGATGGTGGAAATACAAAAAAGTGACTTGATTACTCAAGTAGTATTCCAATACACTACTTATTTACTCTTACTTGAGTATAAATATCACTAAAGCGACAGTACTTTTACCCAAGTAGGGATTTTTCTCTGCTTTTTGGTCATATTCATATTGATTACCAACACATTTAGGGTTAGGTCTAAGATCAGAGTTAGATTTAGTAGAATCTATCACACACAACCCCAAGTTCAGTTTCATTCAGTAGATATTTAGTTAAAAGCTATATTCAGTTCAATTCCATTCCACATTAGTGATCTGCAAGTAGGTTGTATCTCACCCAGGGTTAATGTGGTTTGTTGCACAGGATCTCCTGAAGACTTTGTCCTGGTTTTGATGAATATGTAAGATCTGACCGGCTTCCTGGCCGATTGCTGCCACTCAGAGCAGGAAAATGTCAACCTGTAGTGCAGTGACAAGAATATATGGGAGGGGCAGAACTTGTTAGCTGGGAAGCGCCCCGCCCCACCTCTGTTAACACGTACCAGCATGCGGTCTCTCCAGCTTATTACCCATTCTGCTATGAGGAAACTCACCTGTCACTGACCTATATGACTTCATTTAGCCCATACTAACACATCTAATGCATTTGAATATGAAAATAAGTAAATGGATGCTGTGGACCAGCAGAAGTACATGATGGGACATATGACAAGCACAGGCAAATGAGTTCCATTTAATGTAGCATTATTACTGAAGCACAACACATAATCTTTATCATAAAAGCTGTGGTGAAGGTAAAAAAATAAGCTATAGAGTTTTACTTTAAACGTTAATATTTTTATTACTTTTAGAGAAGGAAACGTCCATATTCTGCTGTGTGATTGTAGGCATTCTCTTAGGCAAGAGTAAATCATACATAGTACAGTTTAATGCAAAAGTTTGGACACTCTGGGTCAAATGATGTTTTGTTTTTTATCACAACCTCTACAGAGAACACACCTTTTAATGCATGATTACTGTTTAGTTGATGAATTTAACATATTGGGGGAAAAATAATAAAACGTAACATAAAATGTGCCAGAATGTGTTCTCTGTAGAGGATGTGTACTTATTTTCACTTTCCCAATCAGCTACCAGAGTTGGGCAGAGTGCTTTGAAAAAGTAGTGGCCAAATACTGAATACACTGTCCTAAAGTATTCAATAACATAATCCATTACAGTACATAAGTAACATTCAGAATACATTTACATATTTTTATTTACTTAGTTTACATATTAATAAGGCACATGGGGGAAACTGCTGTTATAATTGTTATTTATCATCACATTGATTTATCAGTCTACTCGGGCTTTAGCAGAGCTCAGTAACACTGAGATTAATAACTGATCATCCAGTAATTCAGCACAATGTTTGATGAGTCAGAAAATTTATTATGCTCTGAAATTGTCAGACAAATGACACTTGAATTTTCAGTCAGTGTTCAGTCATTTAAATTTGATACAAATTCAAACAAAGTATCGCTTCCAAGACTTTGCATAAGCTAAAGTGTATGCACACTGCAGTGCCAAAAAAAGAGATGTCAAAAGTAGCAACATCTCTTTCACCTTCATTGAAAGGGAAATAAAAATCAGATTACTGTTAGGCTTGTGCTACAGGGGAAGTGTTCGACACAATCAGATCTCCTCGGAATAATTCCACTTCCCTGGATGCAAACATATCCCTGCATCTATAAGCCAGTGATGAGCATTAGCAGTTGCAGCCAGTTGTTTACCCTGATGGGCATTTCAACAAATTTGAATTTTCTTTATGCAATTGTGTTTATGTTTGCAATCAACAGAACTTTTCTACATGAAGGAAGTTATGAACACTGGCCAGTGTTTAATTATACATTATATTGCCAAAAGTATTCGCTCATCTGCCTTCACATGCGTATGAAATTGAGTGACATCCCATTCTTAATCCATAGGGTTGAATATGATGTCGGCCCACCCTTTGCAGCTATAACAGCTTCAACTCTTCTGGGAAGGCTTTCCACAAGGTTTAGGAGTGTGTTTATGGGAATTTTTGACCATTCTTCCAGAAGCACATTTGTGAGGTCAGACACTGATGGACGAGAAGGCCTGGCTCGCAGTCTCCGCTCTAATTCATCCCAAAGGTGTTCTATTGAGTTGAGGTCAGGCCAGTCAAGTTTTTCCACACCAAACTCGCTCATCCATGTCTTTATGGACCTTGCTTTGTGCACTGGTGCGCAGTCATGTTGGAAGGGGCCATCCCCAAACTGTTCCCACAAAGTTGGGAGCATGAAATCTCTTGGTCTGCTGAAGCATTAAGAGTTCTTTTCGCTGGAACTAAGGTGCCGAGCCCAACTGCTGAAAAACAACCCCACACCATAATCCCCCCTCCACCAAACTTTACACTTGGCACAATGCACTCAGGCAAGTACCGTTCTCCTGGCAACTGCCAAACCCAGACTCGTCCACCGGATTGCCAGACGGAGAAGTGTGATTCGTCACTCCAGAGAACACGTCTCCACTGCTCTAGAGTCTAGTGGCAGCGCTTTACACCACTGCATTCGACGCTTTGCATTGTGCTTGGTGATGTAAGGCTTGGATGCAGCTGCTCAGCCATGGAAACCCATTCCATGAAGCTCTCTACACACTGTTCTTGAGCTAATCTGAAGGCCATCTGGAGGCCACATGAAGTTTGGAGGTCTGTAGCGATTGACTCTGCAGAAAGTTGGCAACCTCTGCACACTATGCGCCTGCATCTGCTGACCCCGCTCTGTCATTTTACGTGGCCTACCACTTCGTGTTTGAGTTACTGTCGTTCCCAATCGCTTCCACTTTGTTATAATACCACTGACAGCTGACTGGAATATTTAGTAGCGAGTAAATTTCACGACTGGCTTCGCGGTACCACACTGGAATTCCCTGAGCTGCTGAGAGCAACCCATTCTTTCACAAATGTTTGTAGAAGCAGTCTGCATGTCTAGGTGCTTGGTTCTGTACACCTGTGGCCATGGAAGTGATTGGAACACCTGAATTCAATGATTTGGATGGGTGAGTGAATATAGTGTATTTCCTTTTTCCATGTTCCTGTAATCCTGAAAAAAAACGTTTCTTATTCAATTTTGTAATCTACTTTACCTTTTGAAATTCAGTGTGTGGTCTTCTCTTCATAGTCTTTAGGGTATTTTGTATCACAGAAATTATGCATGGATGTTTTCATACGTTTCTAAATTTTTATCTTGATCATGCTGTGGTAAATTACCCAACAGTAAACATCTTTAATCAGCACAAAACCTTAAACCATAAGTGAACACTAAGTAGAATGCAACAAATGCTGTTTATTTATTCTACATATAAACCCACACACACACACCACATCATTCTTCTGGTATACAAATGCACTAACCCTACCCACCCCCCCCCCAAAACACTCCCTAAATAAATGTAAAAGCCTATGCAATACAGAAATCGGCCTTAAAAGTCAGCTTATACAGTACTGATACAGGGGTTACAGGGATTTCATGTGTAAAATGTACAGTTGAAAAAAACAACATAGGGCCCTTTCCCCCTACTTAGATTAATCTTAATCCTAGGCCAGTTGTATCCAATCTAATCTGCAATGGGTAAATTAAAAATACTTTTCAATGGTAATTTATTATTGATTTTACAATTTACAGTTTATTCCTAGACTAAACAGGATCTTTCATAGACTAAACTGCAATGTGAAAGATGTTTTGCTAAGACTTAAACATGGGGTAAACTGGTTTTGTGGGCATGGACTATGTGTAAATTGGCAAAGTCGAACACAAGTACATTTTGAGGTTATAATGAATGGATAATTTTATAATGAAGGGACAGTTTTATAAAAGGCACTTCCGTCAAAGTTGAACATCCACAGCATACCAAAAGGTGATGTGAAATAAGTGCAACAGTTTCACTTTTCTGAACATCAGATGTGCGCTTCCTTGTATTTTATTGTAAACATTTTTTATTTGGGGAAAAAAAAAATTGACATCTTTAACATGCATGTCTATCAGAAAACCTCATGATGCCCACAACACTTGTAGCACCTTAAAGGAATGGTTCAGCGAAAAATCAAATTTACACATGGAGTCAATCAACCAAGACATGTTTGCTGTCCAAGTTTTGCTCCTTTAGTGCTGGAGTTGAAAGGCCAACGTTGCTAACAAACACTAGAAAAACTAAAAAAAAACCAAACTTCTCTCAACCTGCTCAAACTGCATCCAGCTTCTTGCTACAGTCACACAGAATTGTTGATGTGGTATAGGGCACAGCATTACTGTGAACTATAAAAATGAACAAAACCTCATTGTGTAGCTGAACTCAGCCAATTAAGATACCAACGCATTGGGATGAATTTAATCTCTCTGATTTGGTTAACTTTTGTTGGCAATGACTAGTGTTAGCAATGTTAGTCTTGCAGGTTCTAAACTAAAGAAGCCAAATCTGGACATCAAATGTATCTTGGCTGAGCCAGTATATCAAGTGTAAGTGGAAAAATGTGTTAATCAAAAATTTCACAGAAATATTCCTTTAGGTAAAAACTGGTAAACACAACCGAAAGGCACATTTTCATCACCCCAAGCTTTAAAAAAATAATGGCAGATGCTGAAGGAGTGTGAAGAGCACACTGGCACGTTTTAATGCTGAAGTGTAATAGCTTGAGAGTCTGTAAGGTTCAGGAACCTGGTGGGGGCTCCTGGGGGACTGACTCAATCTCTGCACCCGGGCAGAAGGAATCTGGCATGCGCTTTGCATACTCCACCAGCTCGTACGACTCACGGATATCTGACAGACCAAACCAGAAGACGATCCAGCGGCCATTCACAAAGCTCCCATCACAGTGTTTGAAGTACCTGAGGAATTGGAAAAAAGGATTGCCAGCCAAATTACACAAAGGCAATAAAAACACTGATTAAACAGAGGCAACTGAAAAACAGCTCTGCTGTTTATTGCACATTACCTGCAAACCTTACAATGGGCAGCAGATATTTTGTAGAGACAGAATGCTGCTGTTTGAGGTGTAAAAATGACCAGAATGCAGCAGTTCAACTGCATCAATTTTGGAATGATTCAGTTCTGGCCAACACTATTGGCACCCTTTTTTTTTTTCTTTTTTGTGTGTATATATATGTGTGTATGTATGTATATGTGTATGTGTGTGTATGTATGTATATATATATATATATATATATATATACAGCTGAAATCTGCCATAGAGAGGAAAAAGCCTGCAAATATATATATATATATATATATATATATATATATATATATATATATATATATATATATATATTTGCAGGCTTTTTCCTCTCTATGGCAGATTTCAGCTGTTCCCAAAGATTTTCAAAGGGGTTTGAGATCAGGACTCAACAGGACAAAACAGTCCACTCCTTCATTTGCAACCATTCTGCTGTGCTTTTCAATGTGTGCTTTGGGTCCTTATCATGCTGAAGGAAACCTAGCTTCCTTAAATGAGGTAGCACATTCTGGTCTGAAATGCCTTGGTAATCTTGCAAACTCATTATTCCTTCAATTCAGTTGAGGCAGCAAAGTAGCCACCTTCACGTTTGACTGTACGTAGGGTGTTCTTTTGCTTATAAGTTTCATTTTGTCTCCTAAAAACAAATCACTAGTCTCTTACCAAAGAGCTCTACAAAACATTTACACAAAAGGATTGTGGTTTGTCCAAGTACGTTTTGGCAAAGATCAGTCATGCCTTCTTCTCTATCTTTCAGCAATAGAGTCTTCCTTGGCCTGCAACCATTAAGCCCTTCTTGGTTTAGTGTGTGGCATATGGTACGGATTGAAACCATCACTCCAGATTGCTCCAGGTCTGCCATTAGCTCTTTGGATGTTACACATGGTGTTTTTTTCCACAGTTCGCACCAACCTTTGAAGACTTATCACCGATTTTCCTCTTTGACCCATGTCTAAGGAGATTCTTGACAGTTCCATCAGCAATAAACGTCTTAATTACAATACCCACTGTTGAAACAGGTATTGTACATTATGTATTTAAAATTCAGGTGTGCCAATAATGGTGGCCAGAACTGCATAATCAATTATAATAAATGATAATAATCAATAAAGTGTGCACTTGTTTCTTTTACCCAAATAAGATTCTTGAGCTAACATTTTTAAAGCTTAGTGTATTGTTTCTATTGACTCTACTGTGTGAGTGGTATTCAATGTATTCTGAGCCATACTAAAAGAATCAGATCCCATCATGGTGAAATTAGCGAGCTCACAATGTACTGAACCACTTCCTGAAGAATCATATTTCAATCAAATTGTTGTGAAATCCAATATTTACACCACTGACTATTAGTGGGCAGTATACCGGATGAACCAGATGAAGAGGTATGCCACAACTGAAATTCTTCATGAAGAACGAGCATTTTAACAAGATGTATTAACGTGTTTTAAGCTTTTTAAACAAACTTCTGAGTTTGTTCGAGCTCCTGGTTGTCATGAAGGTAGCATTAGTGTAACATGGACACCAGAATGCTTCTTCTTGTACTGCCTAAGGAGCTGCCTAGCTCAGTCAGCCGCAACAATGAGTCTGCGGACCAGTTAATACTGAAGCATAAATGTAACAAACCTTAAGGTGGCTTCTTATTCGAATTTCCCGTTCCACCTTAAATGGTACAGCAAATACATTAGGGCACCTGCGCAGTAAATGCTGCTCCATTTTAGTGCTGGACGATTTTAACGATTAATTCGGTTAATTCGAATTAACGTTTTCACACGATGTTAGAATGTGACAATCGAGATTGTACAAATTTACATTCCTTATACTTTAATTAAAATACCAACAAAAACTATTCAGATTTTCAAGACGCATGAAAAACGCATCTTAAATAAAAAAAACTCCGCCTCTCACAGGTCTGTGCGCTGACCTCAGCCGCGTGCGGTAGAAAAAAACACAAACACTCGAAGATGGATGCCGGTGGCGCTTCGCAGAGGAGTGAGCTCGTACCAAAGAAAGGTGGAAACATCAGTTCAGTGGTGTGGAACTGGTTCGGATTTGAAAAGTCAGATGTTGAACAAATTCACGTAAAGTGTAAGTTGTGTCGAAAGACAGTTGCAACCAGATGTGGCAGTACGACGAATCTGTTCCAGCACTTACGACACAAACACCCAGTGGAACGGGAGCAATGCGTGAAACAACGCGATGAAAATACAGGCGGCCTTCCGACACCCAAAACCCCCGCTAAAAGACAGCTAACGTTAACTGCGTCATTTTCTACTGCTGTCCCATACGAGAAGAAGAGCCCCAGGTGGAAAGAAATTACCGAGGCAGTGTCATTTTACATAGCGAAAGACATGGTACCCATTTACACTGTTGAGAGAGAAGGCTTCATCAAGTTGCTGCAAACAACTGACCCCAGGTACGAGCTTCCTGGCCGCAAACATTTTGCGCATACGGTACTGCCTCGTCTGTACACAGCTACACGTGCAAGAGTAGCGGAGAAGATGGAGAAAGTTCTGTTTTATGCTACCACGACAGACCTTTGGAGCAGTCGTATCGTTCAGCCATACATGAGTCTAACGGTTCACTATATCGATGAAGATTGGACGCTGCAGAGTGTTTGCCTCCAGACATGTTACTTCCCTGACGACCCCACTGGTGAAGTCATTAGCCAAGGGCTTAAAGACGCCTTGGCTTCTTGGAAGCTTAGTGAAGACAGACAAGTATGCGTAACTACTGACAGTGGAAGTAACGAGTGGACCCATCTCCAGCGTTTTGGACATAGACTCCACAATGCCATTGGTAAGTTGTTTACTTAATATTTTATGACATTGAATTTCACAACAAAACTTGGTGATTAATGTGCTTTTCACAGCACAATTAGAACTTTAACATTTAAATCTTATAAATCTAAACTCAAAAATGAAAGTGACCAAGTTAACATGAAATATTCAGTGAACCTCTGAAATTAATAAACTTAAAACACAAATTATTTCCCTGTTAACTTAATATTACAAGGTCAGTGACCTGAAATGGTCATTTCAAGTTAACTTGATTACCTATTTTTCAAAGTTTTAAGTTTAAAAGCTGCATAATGGTTAGTGTTTCTGTTTTAATTGTATGTCTGTGTGAGGGAGACAGAGAGAGTAAGTTTTTATATGCATCAGCAAAATGATGTATGGTGGATTTTGTCAAAAAAATTATGAGCTGTTTGAAAATGTTAATGTCACAAGTGTGAAAATAATTCTTTTTGCTTTCTGAACACAGAAAATGGTGTGAAAGATCCACGGGTTGACCATGCAATTGGGGTGTGCAAGAAAGTTGCAAGTGCATTTTCCTTTAGCTGGAAAAGAAGAGACCTGGCTTTAGCACAGACTGAACTTGGCCTACCAACTCATCAGCTCATTACCGAATCTCCAAACAGGTGGGGTTCCAGAAAAAAAATGATACATCGCGTTTTGGAGCAGGAGAAAGCCATAGCCATAGTTTTGGGCTCGGATAAGAAGTCTCGGCAGCTAGTACCCACTTGGCAAGACATTGATGTATTAGAGTCAGTGAATAAAGCTGTAAGTCCACTACAGGAGTTCACTGATGCATTGTCGGGTGAAGAGTATATGAGTGTCTCCTGCCTCAAACCAGTGCTTCATCTGTTTAACAGCAGCATTCTACAGTCAAAGTTACATAGAGCAAGAGGAGCTGGAAGGAATCAAAGAGCGAGCCATTACAGAGTTGATCTCTCTGCTAGCAGAGAAAAACACAGATCAGCCTAACACAACTGTTCAGATGCAACCAGCAAGCAAGCAAACTTGCAGTCAACAAGATGAACATGTTGTGCCTAAGAGGAAGAAATCATTAGCCAGCTTTTTGAAGAAGACTGTGCCACCTCCATCCACCCCCCAGTCACAAGAGGAAAAAAATCAAAGCTGAGCTGACTGCTTACTTGATGTCCCCTGGTATAGATCCTGACACAGACCCACTTCATTGGTGGAAACTGCATGAAACAAACTTCCCCAATCTAAGCAACCTTGCAAAGAAATACCTCTGTATACCTGCAACAAGTGCCCCTTCTGAGCGAGTTTTCAGTGTCAGCTGGGAACATTGTTACCTGTCAGAGGTCATCTCTCAAGCCTGAAACAGTAGATAGGCTTGTGTTCCTTTCAAGAAACCTGTAAAGAACTTGTGGTTTGCACTTTTTTAATGTAAGGAGATCATGCCTGCAATTTATTTAAAGTGAGAGTTGATTTTGAGCTTTAAGGAAGCTGCTTGCTATTCTTAAAAGAATATCACTAATTAAGATGGTTCTTTTATGTTTTAATGATTATTTTTTGTTACAAATTTTGTTGTGCTTGCACAGTTTGAGTCCTTTGAAAGGATATTTAAAAGTAACCACTATTTGCACAATAATTATAGGTGGTGCTGTTACTATTTTTGAACTTCTGCAGTCATTTAAATTAAAGTGCCAAAACGAAATTGTCTTTTTTTTTTCAATGGGATTATGCAAGAACCAAAACGGAATCGAGAATCGTTAATAAATTTGAAAATAATCGAGATTTTACTTTTTTGCAATGTCGCCCAGCCCTACTTCACTTAGGTGGAACAGAAAATTAAAACAAAAAGATTTGCTCATTGAAAAAGCTTCTCATTAAAAGTTCAAAGGACATTCCAGAATAATAAACACTGTTAACCTACAAAAATAAGTGTACTTATTAGGGGTGCGGGAAAAAATCGATTTTTAGATGCATCGCGATGCGGACGCGAACGATTCTGAATCGATTCACAAACGCCAAAAATCGATTTTCTAAATATTTAATTTATAACGTAATGTCGACGGAACGCAAAGGGCGGAACTTGGAAGTGGGTAAGTGCAGCGCCCGGACAGTCTGTGGCGGCACATAACAAAAACACAACTGGATGAGCGAGAAATCCGACCGGCTCCCTCTGTATTAAAGCCAGGTCAGGTCAGGAGTCACAACCCAAATGATAAGAAGAGCCATTTTGTCCTTTCAACAAAGTCAAACCACCTTGGGAGTCACAACATTTATGTCCAGTATGTCTCAGTATGTGTTAATGTCCTAGTAAAGGCTAAACAATATAAATGAAAATGCAGATTTACTCCGCTCTGCTTTAAGCTTTAGCTATAGCCGCTTTCCTCCCCTTTCCCTCAGGGAACTTTTCCTCAAAACTAGAGCAGTTTCTCGTAAAAAGTCTCTCAGCATTCGACTGTTTTCCGACACTGAAGTCGCTTCTTATTCTCCAGCTTCTTGTTCGAATTTTCCCGTTCCACCTTAAATTCTGCCTGAGGCGCCGAATGTAAATGCGGCACCATTTAAGGTGGAATGGGGAAAATTTGAAAGAGAAGCGACTTCAGCTTCGCAAATGTTTAGTGTTCGACAGTCTATAGTTGCAGATTTAACTTGCCAGGAATCAACTGCAGTGCTTATAAATGCGAATAACGCTTTGTGGCTATGTGACCTGCAGTTCTTAGTCGTTGCGAAACAGGGCTTTCCCGCTACGTTGCACACGTCCCGTCTCAGGGATATTTTAGTGCCACAGCGATCGTCCCCCCTCCCTGTCTCTACAACGAGACCAAAACCAAAGTTATAAAATCACTAAAGAAAACGGGTAGAATAGCTGTAACTTGTGCTGCGTGGACGTCCACGGCCACAGGATCTTATTTCACTGTAACTGCGCATTTTATCGCAGACGAGTGGCAGCGTCTCGTGCTCCAAACAATAGCAGTGAATGAGAGTCTTCTACTTCAATTGCCACATCACTTCCATTTGATTTATTAATAAAAGATATTGGAAGTAAATTCATTATGGATCATTACAAATACTCTGCTTTAAAACTACCAAGTCCTCAGACAGTAAGAAAATAGAAATCCTGTATAGAAAAAAAAAAGATGCATCGAGATGCATCGATAATCGTTTCATAATCGCATCGTAGCCCTCTGAATCGTAATCGAATCGAATCGTGAGGCGCCTAAAGATTCCCACCCCTAGTACTTAAGCATCTAAAATGGTTTTATTTGGAAAAATAAATATACAATGATATATACCAAAAACATCAGAAATGTTAAATGTACTGTGATACAAATTTTTGGCCATTCTGCCCACTACTACCACTGGTGCTTGTATATTTGCGTCAAAAATGTCGTTCCACGTCTTATAGCAGTAGTGTCTTTCTAACAGTAGCTGTTAGAATCAGCGACAGAATGCGACTGACAGCAGCATGCAGCCATGTAAACACTGCCATGGTGACAGCATCACTGGAATAACAGTGGCATTCTTACTTGCATGTGCTACTCTTATATCGTAAGACGTGTTTTGAACACAAATGTTTCTAAAAGGTTTTCATTAAAGTGTTGATTTTATTGTACATGAACAGGTACTGGTATACAACTTCATGTTCAGAACCTGTGTTTGCTGAAAAAAAGCAACATCCAGTTATACCACTGTTATATCTGATGGCAAAAATTAGCAAAAGTGTACTGAAAAACATGGAATAGTTTTCCATCCGTTTAACAGTTTGCTATCATCCATCTACCTCCATAATAAAAAACAGCATAACTGTTCTAATAGCTGTTAGAATTTCATTTCATTTAATTTCATTTAATTCATTTAGTGATTCAGCCTTGTCATTCAACCTTGGTCCTGGAGCACCCCTGTCCTACACACAGGAGCGTTTTTCCTGCTTACAACACATCTGATCCAACTAATCAGCTAATAGACAAGCCCTTCCTAGGATCAAGTAGATGTTTCAGACCAGAAAAATTTCTAACGTGCAGGACAGGGGTCCTCCAGGAACAGGGTTGGGAATCTGTGCCCCAATTTATCAATAAATTGCTTTTAAATTTGGTTTTATGTCAGTGTCCTCCAACTCACCAAGGGTTAATGCGGTTGGTTGAGCGGGATCTCCAGAACAGTTTGCCCAGGTCCTGGCGGATGCACTCCCACAGGATCTGACTGGTGCCCTGGCCCTGTTTACTGCCACTCACCACAAACTTATCCAAATACAGAGTGCCACTGCTCACAGACTCACAGGTAATAATGGCTGCCGCACTATACCTGAAGAGCACAAAGCAAGTAAACATGCAGTTCTGCCCCCAATAAACGTAATACAACTACTGTATATGTACTACACTATGGCCTTTATACTTACAGAACAGAAAGCAGCAGTATAGGAATAATAAGTAGAATAATCTTAAAGAGGTGTGGAACTGCAGTAAGCTCATGGACAACTGTTTATTATGACTTTGTTTCAGTTCTTCATCATGTTTAAATAGAAAAGTCTAAAATCTGCTAAACAGTCCAACCCTGCTGAGGTGAGGCTGTTCTTACCCTTCTGACAGATAGATGGAATGTAGTCTCCCCTTAAGAGAGGTGATGTAATCCTCCTTCAGTTTCTTCCCAAATGATTTGTTGATCAGAGCCAAGAGACGGTCCACATCTATGTCCTTGAGGCTTTTGTACCTGTCAGAGAATAATCTTCACTTAGAAGTGGCCCTAAAGGTTCACATACAAACAGTGATATGCAAAAGTTCCCAGTCATATGTTTTGTTGATTTTGTAAGTCAAAATAAGTAATAAAATAAGCACATCCTCTACAAAGAACACACTTAAATATGTCATCTTTATGCAAATTGTAGTGCACAATGTCTATTTAATTGCCAAGTGTAATATATTGGGGGGGGGGAAGTAAAATATAAAATGTGCAATAATTTTACACTGGCCACATTTGAATTTTTTTCCCTATATTTTAAATTCAGTAAATAAACAGTAATTGTGCATTAGAATGTGTTTTCTGTAGAGGATGTAACTTATCTTCACTTAGAACAAAACATGTGAAACTTGTTATCAGCAGAAATTTTAATACAATGCAGAGGCAAACTGGAGTTTTCAAATTGTGCACAACTAAAAAATTACAAAAAGGAGACACAGGAGGTTTTTATGTGACAGCGAGTAAATGTTCTGTTCTGTCTCTAAAACATATAGATTTTCAATTGACTCCACTAATACTGGTGTTAGACTGTAAAAAAAAAATCAGTGTTTTGTAAGAGCACGAAGTGCCCACAGTTGGTTGGTCAGCCATTAAAATATTATTTTGAAAATAAATAAATACATTTATTAAATTTTTAAAATAATTAAAAAAAAAAACAAACATAAATTCACATACTTGTGAATGGGATCTCCATTTTTGAACAGGGTGCCAGAACCTGAAAAACACATGAAGAAGCTCAAATGACACTGGAATAGAATATGACTTAATCTACATGTAAACCTTAAATCTGTGTATGTATACAAACCGGTAAATAAAAATTCCCCATATCCCCTTATGTGTTTCTGGGATGGTATACAAAATCTAGCAGAATTACTGGACAGCCACGTGTTTGAGGATAATGCAAGTAGGTCACACGGTTCATTTCAACAACCACCATGTGTGATATTTTAGAACTTGCCAAGGTTGCATTTCAAGAAGTGCAACATCAAGTTTACAGGTACAGTTCAGTTACAGGACGTCATATGTTTAAACATGACACAAAAAAATTAAGCTTGCATGTTCTCGAGGTGTACTTTTACACACTGCCCTCTCCCATCTGGACAAAAAGAACACGTATGTGAGAATGCTGTTTGTGGACTACAGCTCAGCATTCAACACCACCGTGCCCTAAAGGCTCGACATTAAGCTTCGGGATCTGGGTTGGAACAGTTCTCTGTGCAGCTGGATCCTGAACTTCCTGATGGGCCAACGCCAGGTGGTAACGATGGGCAACATCACCTCCTCTTCACTGACCCTTAACACCGGGGCTCCACAGGGCTGTGTGCTCAGCCCTCTCTTGTACTCTCTGTACACCCACAACTGCTCAGCCAGACACAGCTCCAATGTCATCATCAAATTTGCAGATAACACCACAATTGTTGGCCTAATCTCCAATGACAACAAGGAGGCCTACAGAGAGGAGGTCGGCTTTCTGACACTCTGGTGCCATGAGAACAACCTCTCTCTCAATGTCAGCAAGACCAAGGAGCTCATAGTGGACTTCAGGAAGCAAGAGAGAGTGCACACCCCCATCACCATCAACGGAGCCACGGTAGAGAGGGTCAGCAGCTTCAAGTTCGTCTGTGTTCACATCACAGAGGAACTGACATGGAGCGAACACACCACACGGCTGGTAAAAAAGGCACAACAGCGCCTCTCCTACCTCAGACGGCTGAAGAGGTTTGGCATGAACCCCCGCATCCTCAGAACATTTTACACATGTACTGTGGAGAGCATTCTAACAGGCTCCATCACCTCCTGGTATGGAAACTGCACTGCCATTGAGTGGAAAGCTCTGCAGAGGGTGCTGCGGACAGCCCAGCACGTCGCCGGGGTCCAGCTCCCAAACCTCCTGGATTTATATACCAGCTGCTGCATGAGGAAGACCAGGAGGATTCTAAAGGACTCCACCCACCCGAGCCACTGTCTGTTCTCACAGCTGCCGAGCGGGAGGAGGTACAGAAGCAGGAAGCAGAAGCAGAAGGTACCAGCCGGCTCCGAGACAGTTTCTGACTGAACAGTCAGTAGTGCTGGTGTATCAGTCTATAGGCCTGTCACTGCACCTCTGAATCATCATCATCTCCATGGACAATCTACACCTCATCCACATCTCATCAGACTCACTCTGATCTTACTGCACTTTCAATCTAGCAAATCTGTACTTACACATATAGATTGACATGTTGTACATCTTTTACCCATATCTTGTATAATCTGGAAGATTCTATATCAGCATTCTATCCCCTGTGTACCTGCATCTCATTTATCTACCTCAAACTAACTGCACATACGGAATGTTTACAACAGCACATTTCATAGTTTTATTTCAGAACTTATTACTGTACAACTGTACATTGGAATAGTGCAATACCAGTGTATATTGTGTATATGTGTATATTCAGAGTCGGTGTGTGTGTGTATTATATATATATATATATATATATATATATATATATATATATATATATATATATATATATATATATATAATTGCTTCTTCATATATATGTATATAACTTCTTCATATATATATATATATATATATATATAATATTTTGTATTTAAATTCTAAATTTCTGAATATATTATTCAAGTTAATCTAGGTTACATTACAAATGTAAAATAATTCCTTTATGTGACATTGCTTATATCAACCATTTTTTATTAAACCATATTTACTGGCTTTTAATGGTCCAAATTTTACACACACAGCGTTGTCATTTAATGCCTCACAGGCCTATATTCATTTGACCACTAGGGGCCTCAAGACATTAAGCATTTTTCAACATAAATTACTGGAAACCTTTGTTGCTTCATTAAGTTTCACCCCACCATCACTACTAACACCGAGAAGAAACTAGAAAATAAAATGGCAGGGAGAAAAGGAAATCAAACAGCAAAGGAACAAAAGACAAACAATGGACTATATGTACACACTGAACACAGGCAAGACACAACGGGGGACAATGAATAAGGGGCAGGTTTACAAATAAAACACAGGTGGACATAACAAGGCCATGGAACAAGGGAGGAGCAACAGAGGTAGGACTGGACAAGATAAAAAGCAACATAACCAGGCATGTCCAGTCTTATCCACAAAGGGAATAGAATTGTGGAATGAAAACTTGCTGCCACAGCGGTCCCTTGTGGATGAGACTGGACACCCCTGTAACCAGAGAATGACAAAATCTTGGCTACATCCAGAAACCCTTATGGTTACTGCTTTTTCCTACCAATCCACCTCCTCTCCTCTGTGACCTGGAAAGTGATTTTGTAACTCTATCTTCCTGACTGTCTCAATACCAGAGGAGGCAACAGAAGCTGTTCCAAACAGCTACCAAAGCAGCATCAGCAACTTTTGCTACTGCTCCTGTTCTCCTCCTCCCTTCCTACTGCTCCTCTCCTACCCTGGAAAAACATGAAGGAACTGAGGAGAGGAAAGGAGCAGGAATGGAGAGAACAAGCAGAAATTGGGGAAATGGGACAGCTGATTCCTGTCAGGGTCATTAAAGTTGATGTCAACTATTGATGAAATGACGCAATCACAACAGTCGATTGAAGGCACGCCCTGGGATGCTACACAGAGCTCGTCTATTCATGTTTTTGTGGTTTTCAACTCCATGTTTTTTTTACTTTATACCAGGTACAAAATACACAGATAACTATATAAACCCAAAGAAAACACAGAATGTAAAGTATAGCTGGACTGCTCTGTGTTTGTCTGTCCTTGGGCCTGTCTGCAGTGATGTAACACTAAAATCTGTAAATGACTTCCTGGGTAGCATACTTTCAAGTATTCTCCACTAAATGCTGCTTTGGCAGGTATTTTAAGCGGCTTCTCTTGTCTCCTCCGGTGTTAAGACAGCTGGTAAGATGGCGTCACAAAATTGGTTTCCAGGTCACGGAGGAGAAGAGAAAGATCGGTAAGAAAAGCAGTAACTCTTAGGGTTTCTGGACACAGTCACAAGTGTCCTCTACTCAGGAAGTCTGAGTCTGTGGTAAGCTTGTTTAAACCTTATGGTAACATGCATTTTTGGTGGTCGAATCACAATTGGATTTCATTTGACTGCATGAAAAACCAGGTGTAAACACCCCCCAGGATGCACTGTGTTCAGATTTTGATCAGATCACTTAGAGGTGATCAGAGATGGATCTTGACCGCATTTAACACATGTCAAAGGAATGCATTTTTGTTATGAGTACAGATACATGGGGGAAATGCATCTGCCAAGCACTGACTCACAGGTGAGAAAATAAGCATCGAAACTAAAAATGGAAGATACAAGGCTGAAGTTAGACCCAAAGCGAGAGCCTTCTTGGCCTCCAGAACCATAAAAGCCAAGCCTGTCTGCTTATATTGTAACAAGGAGAAGAGTAAACAAAAGTAAAACATGATGATGTGCTTTTTATACAATAATTACATAATTATAAGTACAATAGTGTGTAAAAGTGTGTGTACATATGTGTCTGTGTTTGTGTTCTTGTCTTACTTTACTTCGGAAGACCACATGTCCTCAAAATGATAGGACAACATAACATTTTATTCTCAAGTCAGAACACTTTTCTGGTCCTCACTTAAGCATGTTTTTTTTTTTTTTTGAAAAACTAAAAGAAAAACTGCCTTTTGCATGCTGAGGTTACGGTTAGGGTTAGGTTTAGGTATAGGTGTAGTACTGTTTGGCTACAGTAATACAAAAATCAATAAAAACCTACGGAAGTTCCCACAAGTATAGCAAGTGTGTGTGTGTGTGTGTGCACGCACGTGTTTCTCACCCTTGTGGCTGAAGAGTTCTGTCAGCAGCGTGTTGACTGAAGTGACTACAGCGGAGCTCTCAGGCGGGAGCTGGTTGAGGAGTTGAGCAATAGCACTGACTCGTCTGCGTTCCAGAGCACACAGCCACTCAGCAGACCATAGTGTTGGCAGGTCAGCCGGCAGCGATACTGTCCCTATGACCTGACGAACACACCAATTCAACACTTCAAGTTACCAGATCTGCCCTAATGGAACTGCTTATTTTTAACAGAAATACAATCTGATTAATTAATTTAATTTTCCACTATACAAACATACTACATCAAAATCAGAACACCAATTCCCCTAAAATAAACATATATTTACACAGTGGGAGAAACAATTAAGTTTGTTATAGTTTGGCATGTCTGGCACAGCATGGTATGTATGTTTTCCAAAATAATAATTTGTAAAATGTTACTAGCATATTAATAACATAATATAATAATTGAATAATGCATGTCCTTAAAGCTCAATTTTATGGCTGGTTACTAAATGAAAAGGGAGTGTAACGATAGTTATTTTACTGCAATTATACTGAGCATTTATTCCTTTATTAATTATCACAGGTACTTTGTAGCCTAGAACTCTAAATTATTTTTCTGAATTTGCCACCAAGTTAATAAAACCTGGACAGTACTGATCTATGAACAGAGACCTTTTTTTAACTTGCTAAGTTTTAGTTAAGCTCAGCACTTGCCAGGCCTGTCTGAGTCCGTTAAGATATATTGCTGCATAACAAGAGGCTGATTTGACTTAAACTGTTGTCCTTTAGCCAGCTTTGCCTGGGAATCTTCAGTCTAAATAAGCAACAGATGATAAATCTAGGACCCTGAAGGACGTAAGTCAATGTTAGATCTTTCCTTTGGGTGGGTGTGGGTGGGTTTGTGTGTGTGAATGTGGTAACACTGACAGTGCTTTTGTTTGTTCAAATCCTGCCTTTGGCAACCTGCCATTTATCAAAAACAGAGCTTTAAATTGACAAACAACATTAGGCCAAGTTCTGACTATATTAATAACGACTGAAGTAATACATAATAGCAAACTGAATTTACCAATTAATAAACACATTAAGTTGCTGAATGTTAAGTGTGAAATTAGCAGAGATGGTACTTTTGTTTGTTAAAATACTGACAACGGCAAACAGCCATTTATTAGAAGTAAACTATGAATTGTAATCTACCAAAACATTAGGCAGTAGACATGAACTGCAGGAGTCGAATGTAGGTCCACGCTCTTTACACTTACAGCAGCCAAATCAGAAGTCTGCAGGTTAACAGGTGTTCAGTTCACATGAACACGCGCACACTCACCTTCTTGTTCTGGTTACGCAGGCCACCCCAGCTGTTGAGAAACATGACTTTGAGGGGCTGTATGGCTCGTGAGATGGCCGCAGTGACCTGGACTGAGTCCAGGAGTATGGAGCAGCCAGCTGCATCGCGGCCCACAGGACACACTAGGGGAATGGCTCCACAGTCCAGACTCCACTGCAACAGGGCTGTGTCCACCATCACAGAGGGACTGCCACTAACGCGAATGCACACAGTGAGATACATATAGCAAACAATTACAACTAAAGCTTAGTAGAAGAAGCCATTTTTAAAATATATATATATATATATATATATATATATATATACACACACACACACACCGTGGTATACTGTACTACCATTATATCACCAACCCTAACTTCCACCCTACAGAATACAGCTCTCAGCCCATGGCCTAAATGGCTGCTGGTAAGAATCACCCTCGCACCAGACTCCTCTGCAACATTTCTGGCCCTCTAACTTGCCCTCCACAATAGCATGTTATGCAACAAATCAATATAAATCAACTTATTTCACTGTGATGTCACCACTACACTAAAAACCAGACTGTGTAGCACTCTGCTCTCTAATCTTGACCTAACAGGATGAATGTTCCCCTGTAGATAAAATCAGACTATATGAGAAACCTCTGCAAAAACAACAGGCACATTTGCATTCAGCCCAATAATCCATTAATAATTCGACTAATAGCTCAATTGGAATAGAATATGTCCATGTATACACCTCAATCGGAATAGACTAGTCCAACTGAGGCCAGTCGGAATACAATTTCTATCCGATTGAACGAGGTGGGTAATTCTGTAAATAATCAGTTAAATAAAAGAATAATAGCCATGTAAACACCTGTATCTGATTACATTCCCAATTGTAAAGTTTAAGTACGCTCTGCATATGTGCGTTTGTGTCATAGCGAATGTTTATAATGTTCAGCATGGCGGGAGCAGAAACGGGTCTGCAGAGGAGACGAATTTTAAACTTTGAACTTTAAAAGACGGCGGTGGGACAGGCATCCAGCTTATGTGTCTCAGAACATGACGTCTTCTTCTTGGCCTTCTTTAATAAGTACATGCGAAGAGCGTTTTCCTGATTACTGCTGCTCGTCTCACTCTGACTGCACTCACGTAATGCCCGTTGTCATGGTAACGTCTACACTAAGTGGTTCTCTATGCACGTGCGTCATTTTGGATCTGATTACTTGTAGTGCGCATGTAAACAGAGGTTCTTCATTGTTGAGTAGAGTGAGCATATAAACACCCCAGTCTTGATCTATAATCAGAATGTATTCAATCGAATTAGCAAAAATCTTTGCATATAAACAAAGCCAATGTCACCACCAGTGCAACCCAAAACTGCAAATGTTAAATGAGCCAGTCTAGCAACTACTGAGAAATGGAAGTGAGATTGGTTAAATATAAGGAGATAGGCGTCAACAAAATACCTTGCATACTCTCTCTGGTGATTATTTATGAAAATATCCAAAAAAGTTGGGTCGCTGTGCAAAATGTAAATAAAAACAGAATGCAAAGTTGTGCAAATCATTCAAACCTTATATTTAATTGAAAATACTACAAAGACAACATATCAAATGTTGAAACTGAAAAATTGTATTGTTTCTTGAAAAATATATGCCCATTTTCAATTGGCCAGCAACACTTTTCATAAAAGCTGGGACAGGGCATGTTTACCACTGTGCTGCATCATTACTTCTTTTAACAACACTCTGTAAAAATTTGGGAACTGAGGAGACCAACTGCTGTAGTTTTGAAAGTGAAACGTTTTCCCCAATCTTGCTTGATATAGGATTTCAGCTGCTCAACCATTCAGGGTCTCCTTTGTCTTATTCTTCATATCATAACGCACCGATGTTTTCAGTGGGTGACAGGTCTGGATTGCAGGCAGGTCAGTTTAGCACCCGGATGCTTTTACTACAGAGCCATGTTGTAATATGTACAGAATGTGGTTTGGCATTTTCTTGTTCAAATAAGCAAGACCATCCCTGAGAAAAACGTTGTCTGGATGGCAGCATATATTGCTCCAAAACTTGTATATATCATTCAGCATTAATGGTGCCTTCACAGATGTGCAAGTCATCCCTGCCATGTACCCTAATGCACCCTTATACCATCACAGATGTTTGCTATTAAACTGTGCGCTGATAAAAAGCTGGAAGGCCCCTCTTCTATTTAGTCTGAAGAACGTAGCGTCCATGATTTCCAAAAAGAATTTCAAATTTTCATTCATCAGACCACAGGTCACTTTTCCACTTCACCTCAGTCCATCTTAGCCCAGAGAAGGCTGCAGTGTTTCTGGATCCTGTTTATATGTGGTGTCTTCTTTGCAGTGTAGAGTTTTAACTTGCATTTGTAGATGTAGCGATGAACTGTGTTCACAGACAGTGGCTTTCAGAAGTGTTTCTGAGCCCATGCAGTGATGTCCACTACAGAATTGTGTCTAAATACAGCCAGCCAATACTGGGTTTCGGCCTTGTCCCTTGCATACAAAGATTTTTCTGGATGCTCTGAACCTTTTAATGATAGTATGTACCGTAGATAAAGAATTCCCCAGGTGTTCTATTATTTTATGTCGAGAAATTATATTTTTGAGTTGCTGCACTTTTTGCCCATCTCCCCATCTTTACTTGTGAAAGACTCAGCCTCTCTGGGATACTCTTTTTATACTCAGTCATGTTACTGACCTGTTGCCAGTTAAGCCAGCTAGTTGTGAGATGTTTTGTAGGTGTTTTTTTAGCATTACACAACTTTTGTTGCCCGTGTCCAAACCTTTTTGAAACATGTTGCGGGCATCAATCTCAAAATGGGCATATATTTTTCAAAAGACATTTGCTATGTTGTCTTTATACTACTGTCAATAATATATAGGGTTTACATGATTTGCACATCATTGCATTTTGTTTTTACTTACATTCTGCACAGCGTTCCACCTTTTTTGTAAATGGGGTTGTAACTTATCCACCTAAAAACAGTCTAAGATAAAATGTTTTCTGCCGTTGAGACTAAATTGCTATTTAGCGTTAACATAAGTAAGTTAAAATGGTATTTTATTAAACTGATAATTCCAGTCCAAAAAATCTGATTGGGTGAGCTGCGTTCAAAGCTGTTGTAAAATGCATAGCATGCGCACATCTATCACCGCTTCACAACAACTGAATTCTGTATTACTGTGCCATGAAAAATCGTTGTGGTGTTAATGAAGTAAGAATCAGTTTTTTTGTTTAAACTGAGGGACTGACAACTACTTTCCTTAAATAGAACTAGGCTGGTCAGCTAGCTAACAGGCCAAAAGATAGTTAACACGCTAAACAACTCCATCATTTAATATCACAGGCTTGAATTAAAGCACTAATGATATGATTCACTGTAAAACTGCAGTATAAAATACTAATGAATGTCACTTGAATGGCTTTCACACTTTTTGTCCATGTTTCAGAAGTAGCATCAAACCAAGGCAGAATTTCAAATGGCGCCATAGTCCCTATATAGTGTGCTCTGTAAGGTTTGAAATCCTAGCTTCTACAGCCAAACAGTTCATTAATTGTTGAGTGTAGATGTGGCTGAATCCCAAATGATTATTTTGTAGCTATATTAAGCACTATTGTGGTGCACTATATAGGGGGCAGGGAGCGTGGTAAGAGGGGCATTGTTGGATTGGTGCTACATAAGACTCACGGTGGTAATTTGGGGGACAAAAAGTAAATGATGGTTTTTGCATTAAACAGTGCTATGTTCTGATATGTTCATTATTATACAACAAAAAGTAAAACGATCATCAAATGACTGCAATATACAGTGATTGGAGACCGAACGTTCTTCTCCTAATTCAGCAGTCCATGGTTGCTTAGCAACAACAGCCATACTCTAAAAGAACTACGCGTCTTGGCAGAATACTTGTTTATGTTGATTATTGTCAATAATAACGTAAATTATTTTCTGGCTTACTGCTTTATAGTATATTTTGCAAAGTGCCCTCATTTTTGTATAAAACGCCCGTGAATTTACATCAGTCAGGGTAAAAACGATTTTTCTTACTCTGCATTATGACAATAAACGCAGTGTATGATTTCACCAAGTTCACATCTAATTTAACAGATATATTCAAAGACTGAAGACACATGTCTGCCCGTTTTTCATCTTTAATCGGGTCCCTGATGGGTGGGCTGACTAACCTGCCGCCATGCTGAGGGTCCTGAAGTTGTAGCAGTGCCTCTGCGCTAAAGAAAGGAATGACACTGGCTGAGTTGTGCTGAAGGGCCTCAGTGAGAGCTTGGCAATACTTCACCAACAGAGTCCTGCAGTCAGAGGAAATAGGCCCATCTGCTCCACTGTCCTTCTGCATCAGCTCAGGAGGAAGGCCCATTACCACCACCGACTTCATATCCATCCGCTGCAGGAAAGACAGGCCGAAGGCCAGGCGCTGCACCATCTCACGACTCTTGAACACCGAGGGGTCAATCTGGCAAGACAGTTCAAAATGTTATTGAAGTACAACTGTCCATCTTTGATACCACTTACAAACAAACCCAGTGGGGACCTGCAGTTGTCTTAAATTTTAAGTCGCTTGGTCAGTGCCCAGGACATATAAATGTGGGTCACACATACAAAAAATTACTGATTAACAGAAACATATTTTTTAATTGAAAAATTGGATCAGGAATACAGTTTAAGATTGAAATCGCAAGTGAAGGACATGGACAAAACTGTTATTCTGACCAAAAATCTGCTCAGTAAATTAAAAGTAAAGTACCTGTAGTTGGAAACTCCCATATATTCACATTTTGTTACTATTATTGTGATTATTGTTATATCAACAACGACAACCTATAACCTGTAAATGACAACCTAAAGAATGTTCCAGTAATTGTAATTATCAGCATTTTCAACTTCAATTCCGTGCCAATGTCTGGTTCTACATATCTGAGCTGCAGTTTTGAAATTCTTTTCTATAAGGAAACCTGTATTAGTTTACGTTCACCTTTCCAAAATGTCAAGAGAGAAGCTCCGTGCGCTTTGACGGGTGTGCTATCTCTGTTGTGAGGCCCACTGACCCCACTGACCCCATCTAGTGTGGTCAGCATCTGTGCACTATACGTTTAAACAGATTTATCAGCACCAAAACATGCCCACTGGGCAACATTAACGCTAGCTATTTAAAACGCCATTACAGTATAATAACTATTACAAAAATGTTAATTAGCAAGCTACTATGATATCTGTCGGCAAGTAAAGTTGTGCTTTCCAATATCAAGCTAAGTTCTTGGCAACTTCGCTTTATCTTTGAATTAACCCGCTCACTCATCCGTTTACTCCACTGTAGCCGAAGCTAACTGAGCTAACTGCTCACCTCCACCACGGCGAAAGCAGGCGCCACCGACCGGTTAGCTCGCTGAAATTGCGTCAGCCAGTAACGAGCTTCTCTAGGATCTCCGCCGACTTCATCGAGGAAAGCCTTCACGTCCCGGTATATCAGCGTGCGGTTGGACCAAACGTTGCGGTCTGTTAGCGCAACGGAGCTGGGCACCTCCTGCTGAGTCCACACCGGGGTCTTGCTGCCCTGCCCCGCCGTGCTGGCCGACATCATTCGCCGCTGAAGTTTCGCGAATCTCTGCTGTCCGCTGTTCTGCTGCTGAGCGAGCGGAGAGGGCTTCGACAAAAACTGACCTGCCATTACGATGGCCCTACAGCCCGACGTGCCGCCGTGTACTTTGGCCATGAGGAGGGTCAGCTTCGGCCGTGTCCGGGTGAACTCCACCGGCTGTTCCCTCGCTGTGAAACCCCTCTACTTTAGGCAGCACATTGACTCGCCGCCAGGCGTTCAGTTCAGTCCTCCCAAACACTATATGGAACAAAGAGGCGGAGCCACAGCTGTCAAGGCCCGTTACCATGGTAACGTGGGAGCGAAATATATGCGCACACTGAAAAAAGATGGTGCTTCAAAGGTTCTTTAGTAAAGGAAATGGTTCTGTAAAGAACTATAACGACTCAAAGAACCCTTTGTATGATGAAAGGGTTCTTCAGATTGATAGAGAATGTGCTGCAGATGGTTCTATATGGCACCCAAAAGGGTTCCAGTATTGTTATGGTGACAAGCTTGTAACAATAGAAGAACCCTTTTGGATGCTATATAGAACCCTTCTGAAAAAGTGTGTCTACAGCACATTCATGCCTATTTTCCATCTTTCCATCTTTTTTAAGAGTGTACCGTTCACTTTCGCAGGCAGTGGGGTCCAAATAAGAGCCTTGATTAAATAATGCTCTAGTTCAGCTATACACTAGTTATATGTCCAAAAGTTTGCAGACACATGCTCATCCAAGGGTATTAATAGGGAGCGCCCGCCCCCCTTTTTTGCTGCAGGAACACTTCTGTTCTTTTGGGAAGGCTTTACTCTAGGTGTTGGGAGATTGTGTGAGGATTTGATTGCATTCAGCCACAGGAGTTAGTTCTGGATCGCAAATTACACCACTGTAACTAATCTGATTGTGTCCATCACTCCATAGCCCAGTGCTGAGGAACTTTATACTCCACTAGTTATGTCCAAAAGTATCCAGACACTCCTTCTAATTAGTGAGTTCATCTACCATCGCTGATAGGTCCCTCATCACTGGGCGGTGGTAGGAGTGGAATTGTGTTCTCTGGAGTGATGCACACCATCAAGTATGTTTGAGTTGTAGTGCCATTTGTGAGAAGAAACTATTTTACGTTTAAAGTCAAAGTCAGTACAGTAAGTTGGCTTTTACATGTACATTTTTTTACATGGTATCTCTTGCTTTCTTAATAAATAAATGGAAAAAAGCATTTGCTGTTGGCGTATTTTGTGATTTTCATACATAAAAAGTCACCAGAATGTAGAGACCTAGTCATAATCCAAATGTGCTGTTGGAGGATCTTGAGAGCTCCACATGTGCTTGGAAAAGCTCCCCCCTTTCTAACATCTCAAGGTTAGCAAGTTAAGATACATCTGTCAAACCATTAAAAATGAAATAAAATTAGGTCCTAGTTAAGCTGACATTTACAATTATAATGTAACAGTGTGAGCTAAGTAACATTTGCTTAAAAAGGACAGATGTTACAAGCTTAAATGCATTTGCTAATTACATGCTTCAGTTTTTTAATATTAACTTTAAATGCACTGAGCAACAGTTTGTAGCTGCACAGTACAGATATAAGCAGCAGATGGCAGAATGGGGCTGTGTATTGATTCATCCACTTTCTCCCTCTAATTCACATTACTCTATTTCCTTACACTGTTATTTTTCCATCAGCTCATATAGGACCGTAATGCTCCTTAAGTGAACCCTTATACTCCTTACAAACACAAAATTGCCCATTAAGAGAAAGGTTTAGCTAAGTTATCACATAATTCCAGCATTAGCCATGAGCATGTCTGCCATTTCCTCAGCGATGAGGAGATGGAGCCACTGAGTGAAAGAAGACTTCCCTACCGCTTGCCTCAGGCAAGCAGCATGATCCAACCTGCTAAAGCCCTTCCCTCAGTCCACCTAGAGAGAAACACAGAATTATTACAATATTAAGAGTGTGCATAAGGAGAATTGGGAGCAGTAATAATCAGTAATTTAGTGGATTCAGATTTTTGATGTTGAATATTAAATCAGAGATCCAAAATATATATTTTAAATATGCTTATTTCAGTTTTTGATGTAAGCAAAGTCATTTAGAGTGATCTGATATAAAATGGTGCATTGCAGAGAAACCAACAGACTCAGATTTTTTTTTACAATGGTGGTTACAAGAACCAGGGTTTGCTATGTCAACAATGCAAATATAACTGTTTTACTTGCTATCCAAAACAAAAACTGAAACTACGTGTGTCTTCTGAGTTTACTAGTAACAGTAAAAGAGTGATAAATTAGAAAAAGATGTAATATTTTTTCTTAAATTGGCCTGCATGTACCTATTCGTCTTTCATGTATAACCCCAATTCCAAAAAAGTTAGGATGCCGTGTAAACTGTAAATAAATGTAAATAATAACAGAATGCAATGATATGCAAATCTCATTGACCCATATTTTATTCACAATAGAACATAGAACAGATATAAGATGTTGAAAGTGAGACATTTTACCATTTCATGAAAAATGTTAACTCATTTAGAATTGGATGGCACCAACGCATCTCAAAAAAGCTGGAACAGGGCCATGTCTGCCATTGTGTAGCATCCCCTCTTCCCTGAAAGAGACATTGTCTGGATGGGAGCATATGTTGTTCTAAAACCTCTATATACTGTTCAGCATTCATAGTGTCTTTCCAGATGTATAAACTGCCCACACCATAGGCACTAATGCAACCCCATACCATCAGAGATTGCTTTTGAACTGTGATAACAAATGGATGGTCCCACTCCTCTTGAGTCCACAGGACAGTGTCGGTGGTTTCCAAAAAGAATTTAAATTTTTGATTCATCTGACCGTGAGATTTGCAAATGATTGCATTCTTTTTTTTATTTACATTTTACACAGCATCCCAACTTTTTTGGAATTGGGGTTTATTTTAAAATAAGTTTTAGGTCAAAACCTTACCCTAAAACTATCAAAAAACAATATGTCATGCACCAGGCAATGTATTAATAGCCATTTTGTGTAATAACTTTCCTTGAAATAGCTTTCAAAGGCATTGAAGTCTTCAGATGTCTGGTTCCTATCACCACCACTGTGAACAGTCCTGACTCAAAGTTTCTCTAGAACAGTACATTCCACATTAAACCACCCTGGATGATTTAATTGTGTGGACAAAAAAAATGTGATTACATTTGAATGGTCTGTATCAGATTATGAGACAACACATTTTCTGACGTAAATGTTTTAATGCCAAATAAATAATAAAATTATGAGTCAATACATTTTTGATGTAAATTGTGAAAGGTGTATGGCAGGTTATGAGTCAACATATGATTGCTGTCTCAAGGGGACGAGCAAGATAGAGCGAGGAGGCGGCGAGCTGGAACTGAAAAGAGCATCAGTTTCTCTGCCAAATATCCTGAAGGCTTTCATGGTTGCAGACAGTTATTTCCATGTGCTGATGTCTGATCCAGTGACGAAGATTGACACTCCAAACAGAGACAGCAGAAGGCAGAATCACTCATTACCCAGCTCCCTCAAGACTGTCGCAGTCGTCAGGTTTTCATGACAGGGAAAATGCAACTTGAAGGAATTAGTTGAAAAATCACATTTACACAGTTTTCCCTCAGATGTCGTCTATCATCCAAGACTTCTTTGGTGTCTGAGGTTTGTGTCTTTAGTTTTGCACAGAAGCTGTAAGAGGCTAATTAGCTAACAAGTAATGAAAGCTTGCCCGAAGCATCGCTGGAGGGCCATGGTCAGTGCTGCTAGTTTGTCATGTTGTTCCAGCAGCAGATTCACAAGCACCTGTAGTGCTTTCGCCTCCAGTGCGAGATACAACTGCGTTGTCATGTCTCCTTCGCCATCCGCCTTTGAGTTTGTTGATGCGTCACTCTATTTCTTCTAACTTGGATGCCGCCTCCTGCTTTCGACACCAATGTAGTGTTGGCATAGAAGAAAACACAGAAAACACTGCGCATACAGGCGAATGCTTTTTAATTTTCAACAGCCACTTCAACAAGTAACAAGCAGCAAAAAATGCCCAGCCCAGCACTAACCCCTACATGAAACACAGGGAGGGGGTGACGTGGGAGGACACAAAAATAGGAGTAGACACTTCTAACCACTAGTTAACTGCAAAGCCCATCTTCCTCGGACACAATTACTCTAATAAACACAACTACACTTATAATAGCATCAACATCAGCAACAATAAGAGTCCCCCCCCACTATTGATAATTGTTGTTGTTAGGTCTGGGCTGAACTGGTCAGCCTGCTCTAATAAGGGCAGAATACAGTCCAATTACAGATAATATCTGTATCTTAATGATACAGATATGAAAAGAGTAACAGTTACAACTACAACAGTTATCCAACCTAGCACAATTATAAGTTGTAAATGCTAGAAATCACCAGCGTATTAAAATTATATTAGTTGGTATTGCTCCTGTGTGCAAAGCAAAAGATCCAAGTTTTCATTCTTTTTTATTATGAGCTCCAATATTTTGTGCAATGGTCATCTAGCAAGCCAGTGACCTCTGCTGCAGTTTGTCTGCTCCTGCAGTGTTTGAATGATGCTTAGCAAACATCTCAGTTTATATATCAGTATGTTCTACACTTACAAAGTGCCTAATATGACTAAAGATAAGCAGGGAAATGCAAGGACTAAATGTTTAATATGCGAAAGGGGTCGAGGGTCCATGTGCGAGAGAGGCTGAATCCATGCACAAGAGACGATGAAGGTCTGTCCATGATAGCGAGCTTTGGCCAAAATTTTAATAGGAAAGTCTGTTCACTCAGTGGCCATCTTTGCAAAGTTATTTCCAGCCCTACAAAACCAAGAATCATATTACAGAAGCTTTCTATCTTGTTGTCTTAAAATCTGATAGGTCAAGGTAAGATTTTTCACAAATTCATATTACAGAAGCAAATCTTATCTTGATTTGGGAATTTTATCATATCTTATAGCATCTTATCTCATCTCCAGATAGGTAAAAAGTATTACAGAAACATCATAACTAGCCCACATTTCCTAAATACTGTCCTAACTTTAAGACAACCCCAGAGGTGTCTTAAGTTCAGTTTTAACCATCTGTTTCTATTGTTTTATGCAGAATCAGACAGCATAGTTCACTA